CAATGTAGTCACAACTGAAAACCGAGCAGATGATCTTACCTGTCTAATGTGCTTATGAAATAAATCATAGCTGTGCATCAAACAAGGGAGCACACTCGTACTTTGCGACAATAATAGAGCTTGTGTGGAGGAAATTTTACACGAGCAAGTGATGTCAGTTCAAAATATGTAGCCATCATCCATTGTACTACTGCATCACGTGCACTAGGTCATCCCTGTCTTGTCTCCTTGCCTTGTATGGCATCCCTATATTCCACACTTTTTTTATTTTTTATTCGCAGAATTTTTTTAATTTACTTGTGTAATTTTATTTCAGTGATTATGTTGCTTTACTTACGTACTTGCAGCACAAGGTAGGAAATGAACAAGATGAATGCGAGTATTGCAGTTGCTAGAGCTGACTTCCTGATATATTCCGGCTGTTGAGCTTCTTTTTTGACTCGAGGGCCCCAATGCCAGTCAGCTCCTTGCACAATGCTAATTAAGAGAGGAGCATGTCATCAATTCAGTTGTCCTCTAAAGTGCATGCTTCTGAAGTAAAAGTTTATCTGCTCTACCTCCAGCTCTTTTCTCTCTCTAACCAGGTAGAGTAAAATATTTACCGAGAACTATACTTTGGATATCATCGTGTAACCATTATAATATAGTAGTTATAACATGGTTGTTTATAGAGCACGAGGGGGCTGGATCATGCAGCTCAGTTTTTAAGTCGTATAAACCCAGTAGTTTCTGGAAAACCACATCCTGCATCATAATTTTCCTTTGTGGTGCATAGTGCCAGAATTGCGATAACAAACAGAGATGTTGAGACCAACTACTGTAACACTTTCCGCGCATGCACGCTAAGATTTTAATTATGGAATCACTTCAATTTATACCCAATACGTATCTCCTACCTGCAAAATATCGTACCTTATAGTATGGACATGCACAATTATTGTTTTTGAGTAACAATCGTGAACTCACAAGTATGGTAGAGCTGACACAAGCATAATGATTGCACTGTTAGTCACATCTGGAAACACACTAACACCCTACAGAAATAGTGTTATACAACATTAATGTTAGTGCTATGTATACACAAAACTATGGCGAATGCAACTAATTTTTGGCGAGTGAAGCAATCTTTGAGTCACTTTATGTAATGTTGGCGTATGTCGATGTCATGGCGGAGTATTATTTATAAATCGGCAACATGACATTTATTTCACCCACCAAAGCACCACTACTAATCAAGGCTACACATGGCATTCACTCTAAGCACCTTCCTACATGTCGTGTGAACACTAAACAAACATTGTGTGCTTGACGATTTGCACGAGAAAAGAGCAAGAAAAGTGACAAATGGAGTGTCACGTGTGGACAGAAGAAAAGCTGCAGTTTGTCATCACATCCAATAATTGTGGAAAGTGAATGGACAAGCAAGAAATACATGCATCCACACACACACGATTCCACGCCACCCACAAAATCTATTATGGGAGGTGGCATGAGACTAAAAATAATAACTATCATTAGTGGCAAGTCCATATCGGCTAGATATGCCTTAAGGTTGTCCCCCATACAAATGGCAAACGTAAAAATTGCCCGTTTCTATGCATATCGCTTGCAAAATTTACTTCCTGATCCAAAAAAGGTATAGTCTGGGTACCAAAGATGACAGGAAATTTTGGCCAACTACTTAATTTTGCAATTCGATTGTAAAAATGGTTTGCAGTATACTGCCAATTGTCATCTTTTCACAAGCACGTACAATAAAGACACTGATTCAAAATGGACGGCTGGGTGCACGGTTGTCAACACCGAGAAAGATTCACTGCAATAACTATCATACTTCAGCAAAATGTGCAGCACGAGTGCGAGTAAGAGCAGCACACCCGAAGGAGGAGCCAAGTTGTTGAAAACTGCCACTTGACTCATACTTATAAATGAAATTTCAATAATAGTGTCTTCTTCTACTTTAAAGCACACGATAACCATCATTACCTTCGAATTCACAGCTTGGTGGAAGTGCATCTGCCATTATACGTCCAGGAGAGAAAGTTCTGAACGTGTTAAAATGTTGAACACACTTGGGAGGGAAACCACTCGGGCAGTAGTTTCACAATGATCACAACAGTGCAAAGTTTAGTTAAGTGGGTGTTTTGAGAACCTTTCAATACCACAAAACCAACCATTGTTGCTGATGACACATTCCTTCAGCATAGGGAAGGGTTTACAGGTTTAAGGTGAAGGGTATGGATATAGAGCAGTAGTTACAAAGGTAAATTGTGACAAAGGTGGGGCTAGGGCTACGTATACCACTATGACAATGGTTTTCGCTGAGATCCCACTCGAGCATCCTTGGGCTAAGGGGTGGCAAATCTGGACATCACTCCCGACACATCGTCAAGGGGCATGTGGCTGCAGACCCAAGCCACTGACCTTGCAACAGTGTCTGACGAGTAAACACCTCGACATACTAGGAATCTGAACTACGTCACACAGTTCACGACTGATATTGAGGGTCACAAACTGCCCTCTCTCGTATTGCACTTTTTAAACATCACAGATCAGTTCCCATCAATTGACCAGCAGGTGTTGGCAAATGCACAGGCTGGATACCCAGAGTGCTCTACGACACCTTCCACAATTCTCTCTGTCTCATGCTTCTGCAACCCCCAACAACATCTGTGACACAAGCACAGGAACACCCCATTTGATTGTACTGTCCTTACTACACAGTGCAGTGGTCAATGCAGATAATGCCAAGAGCAGCTGCATCCCATTGGCCCTGTTGCTTTAGCATGAGAGGTTGATGTCTTCCTCACGCTCTGGAGTAGCAGTCAACAGAGTGGCATAAGACCAAGTGCGGAAAAGGATTAAAATCAGAGGATGGCAGACGATGGCAAGGGAGAGAAGGAAGCAAGTTACAGTTGTTACAAACTTCCTGACCCACTGTACAATGGTGGAGCAGCCATAGCATGCAGAACCACAGACCACACACTGGGAGAACCTGTAATGAAAAGCACTGAAGTGCAAACCCTCGGCGAACTGCGCATGCACGGTACCTCTAATTGATGAGCTGGGCTAGATTAGTAACGTGGTAGCTCGCAGAGAGTCTGACACGGGCTAGCTACAGTAGGAGATACATGTGTCAGTTGATACACGCCCTTCGTTGTGACTTTTGGTGCCTTCAAGATACACAGAGCAAGCGGACCGGGTCGAGGTAAGCCTGTGCTAATTAGCAATTGGCGAAAATCGCCATTTTAAAAATGAAGCCGGTGTAGGGCTAAACCCGTTGGTGTCGCTTTTTGTTGCGCGTGGTGGCAGAAAAAACATCGTAACAGAGACACAGACAGACAGACCGACCGATCAAATACTGTAACCCCCGATGCGCATGCGCGCCGAGGGTTAATGAAGTGCGAAAAACCCCGGCGAACTGCGCATGCGTGATACTGCACTATCACTTTACTCGTGGTCTCCCGCGCGGAGTCTGGTAGATAGCATGCGGGAGTCGATATATACATGCTGTTCGTTGTGACTTCCTGAGCCCCCAAGGTACACAGAGCGAGCAGATCAGATCGCGGTAAGCCCACTATGAAATAATTGGCGAGCGGGAGCGAGCTAACGTAGTGGTATATACGAACGGCGCGATATTTCCTACGTCGTCCACGCGCTTCTTTTTATCCGAAAAACATTTCACATTTTACACCGTATATTTATCGTGAATATAACTCACCCACACTTTCTGCGATGGATCGGTCTAGAGAAGATGCCCTTCGTCGTCGACGAGAAAGGGAAAGAGAACGTCGTGCCAGTGAGACTTCTGAGCAAAGAGAGGCTCGTCTTTCTCGACGGCGACTGCGTGATAGGAAACGGGCAAGGCAATGCCTGGCCACGGAAACAACGGAAGAAAGGGGAAGCACGACTAGCGAGAAGTCGTGTACGAGCAAGAGCTACACGTGCTGCGGAATAAGAGGAAACGCAACAGGCAAGGCTCCAACAGATCCGAAGCTATCAGACAAGGCGAATTGCCGCCGAGTCTGCCGAGGAGAGAGAGGGTCGACTACAGTTACTATATACACAGGAATCAACAGCTTTTTTGCGCATGCACAGAATCGTTGGATCGCTCCCGCTCGCCAAAATATACATTACGCATGCAGGCTGCACAGTCATATCCCAACATCGATGAGGCTCCCGTCCTTCATTGCTCAGCAGAGACAAGCACATGTCTTCACAATCACAGCCAAATTTTTACACATTTTCACTTCGCGATATGCGCCGATTGATCTAGCTAGCGAGAGAACTCTTCTCCATCTATGCGCTGACGGCACTCCATGCAGCCCGAACATCGCGGGCTAATCCCAAGTTGGGTCGCTCCCGCTCGCCAATATTTCCACTAGTAGGGATGTGCTCGTCGAAATCTTCGATCCAAGCACTAGGTGCGTCCGCGTCGTCCTGGCCGAGCCCGCGGTGACACGGCTAGGCGCATGCGCAGTGCTTCCTCCAGCACGTGGGCCGGCTAGCTGGCCAGTGCAGTGGCAGTGCCCCTGTACTGTCGGAAGCAGTGGCGTCGTCATCCGCGGCGTCGCTGGCGGCTGGAGCTATATAACACTTGTGAGTTTTTCCTTTCCATTCCTTGGTTCTCTGGGCGTGCGTACCCCGTTTGCTGTTCGGGGTTTTACGCCCTCACTGCTCTGGCGTGCGTGCCCCTGTGCTATGGGGTTTTACTCTGGCTTGCGTGCCCTTACGCCTGCTGTTCTGGCGTAAAATGGCGGACAACTCTCGTCCCCTCGCTCCTTCTCAGCCGATGTGCGTTGTGTTTGCGTGCGGAGCAGGCAGCCCTGTGTGAGCTGCCTCCCCGGAGATCACGATGGTTGCCACAACCGCCCCTCCTCTCGCCCTGCCTCGACAACGCCCATGCCGCCCGATACCACCTCACATGCCTCCTTCTTACTTCCGCCAACTGTCTTCTTGTCGGGAGCCCCGGCTACGGTGCATCTAACTCCGCTCACCCCCCCATGGAACGAATGCCCTACCTTCACTCTTCACTATCTTTCAGTCATACATACCTACTTTTCAACACGTCCCCAAGGGGGCCAGGGATATCTGGGCTAAGGCACTCAGTGACTGCCTCTCTTCAGTCACCAACAACCCTAATGACCTGGTCCTGTGGACCAAACTTTTCATGCTCCCTAAATGTGTTCTTGTCAGCCCTGCTGCTGGACGTCGCCTGCCATGGCGGGATATTCGGCAAGTGAAGTCTCGTTTGCACAGGTGGGCCACTACTTTGTGGAGTCAGGCCCAGACCGAGGGCTGCACACTCTCTAGGCAAGCAAGAGCACCCTCTACCTCTCAACTGAGTCACAATGCTAGGCGTGCCCAGGATGGTTTGTGCAGTAAGGCGATTCAAGCTCTTTCTTCTGAAGGCCTTCGATCTCTCCGGGAGATGCATCCACATGCTGCTCTACCTTTAGGGCCGGTGCCTCCTCCTACATCAGTTTCTGAGGCTTGTGTCTTCAAAGCGGTGAAATCCTTCCCTAGTGGTTCTGCGGCTGGCCCCTCTGGTCTCCGACCAACCCACCTTCGCGAAGCTGTGTGTTTTCCTGCACCAGACCGGGCCAGGGAGGCACTCACCTCTCTGGTCAGTTTCGTGAATGTCCTCGCTGCCGGGCTGGCACCAACCCCAGTTCTACCCCGCCTTTGTGGCGCTACTCTCCTCGCCTGCCGGAAGAATGAAAAGCACTAAAGTGCAAACCCTCGGCTCAAAATGCGCATGTTTGTGGTTTGTAAGCTAGGTTGGCTATTTCAAAGTGGTTCGTATCAAACAGTTATTTCGCTTAACAGTGTTCGTATTAATGAGGTTCCACTGTAACTACAAAATTGAATATAAGATCAACAAATTGGATGAAGGGTATCTGCAGTTCATTAGTGCTTATCAGAGTAACCTAATGACATGTTGTTGCAAGTATGCAGCAACACAGTTCAGCTATGAGAGGAGCATTATTGTGCATTGAACATGACGGGATGGAGTGTCTGTGCTTTGATAATATATAGCTCAGAGGGATCCTTCAACGTAGAAATGAGAGTTCTTCTTTAATCCTGTCATGTATGAGATATTTGATGGATAGCCTGTATAGGAGGGATGGTAATACCGAATAAAAAAAAAAAATTTGGTCAAGTGATATACATAGAAACATAGCACTACTCCATAGTGACTATGTATACCACACTCAAAGCCTCTCACATTCGCTTTTTGCATTCTACTGTGCTTCGTTGCTTGGGATATATTGCCAGACTGGGCTTTACGCTTAGATGGGAAGGCATGGCCGCATCCACAAACTGCTCGTCTAACGTGAACTGCTGTGCTACATTGCGGACATACCTTGCTCAGTTTGTTGTCCATCGAGAACAGAGATCAACACTGACAGAGGAGAGAACCGCTTGCTCGTCCAAGGTCAACTACACGCGGCATCTCTCAGATGCGCATGCTCCGGCAAACGATAGCTACGGCAACATACGTGCGTGCGCGATGGATCGCTCGCGTACGCTTTTTCGTTTGTTTTCACGCCATATCTCTGGAACACAGTCGTTTCAGGAAAATCGCCACATTAATATCCATCTTCTCGTTGTTCACAACCCATTGGTGCCACTCATTGGCCGCCTTGTAGCCTGTAGTGCGAGAACTCGCGCGGACAGACAGACAGACTACTGTAACCCTCGCTGCGCGCCGAGGGTTAAAAATGGCGGACTTCGACCCATCGCTGTTGGAGAAGTACTGTGACGACTAGTTTCCAAGTGCCTCGCGTCAGCTACTCACAACACAGCCAACCACATCCCTCCAGCTGGGTGTGGGTGTGAGGCAATCATACATTCGGTAACCCAGTCGATGGCTTCAACAACTCCAGACCGATGCTGGACTCTCCGTCTCGACTTCCGGAATGCCTTCAGCAGTATCAGCCGTGCATCGATGTTTGAGCAGGTCCGATCACGCATTCCCGGCCTGGCCGCATGGCTGCAATCCACCCAACCCTTACTTCATCTGGGGTCTAACATCATACATAGCTGTTGTGGGGTTCAATAGGGGGACCCTCTAGGTCCACTTGGGTTCGCTCTCACTCTCCAGCCTATTGATGAGCGAATCAAGGCTGAAGTTCCTGACCTCACCTGAACTCTTGGTACCTCGACGATGGGACCCTTTTGGGCTCAGCCGCAGATCTCGTGCAAGCTCTCAACACCATTGAGTCGGATTGCCCCGCTGTCGGACGCCACCTTAATAGGGCAAAATCTCTACTCTTCATCCTTCAGGTGGAGGATGCTTCATCATCTCCACTACCGCAAGACATCCCAGTTACCCGGCAAGGCTTTACTCTCCTTAGTTGCCTTGTTGATATTTTGCTTCCTAACTGGAGCAGGGGCCGGCAGGCAGCCCTAGACGTGTCGGTCATTTCGCCACTACAGCGGCTGACCTTGTCCGAGGCTGCAGTGTCCTGACGCCATGCACTTGAAGTATGTGTCTGATGCAAGCTCTCGACCAACCTACCAGCGTGTCGAGCCGCTGGAATGGAGTTCATTCCGGTGGTGGTGGAGACTTTGGGTGGTTGGGCTCCAGGAGCATCTTCTACCATCCGCAGAATAGGGGAAGCGCTTGGACAGAGGGTGAACCCTTCCTGCTTACCTCAGACCACAAAACACCTTTTCGGCCGTCTGGGAGTCGCCCTTTGGCGTGGAATCTCTCGATGCTTCCAAGCTAAGCGTCGGGCGGTGTCGGCGGTGGGTCTTGTCTGGCTGCTAAAATCGACCGTCCAGGGACTGCCACAAAAGGCTCAGAGGGATCCGGCTAGTGGGTCTCTTCGTCCTCTGAGTGCTTTTGGCCGCAGTGCACCAGAGCAGCTGCTGGGAACTGGTTGCCGCATTCCTTTCACACCACCTATTTCTTTATTTTCAGCCTCTACGTTTGGGTCTACTACATCTGCTCCAGTGCTGTTGTTGGGGCTACCCCCTGTCATTCCAAGTCTGCCGGTAGCAACCTCCACAACAGTGGCCCCAGTCTCTGCCGGCACATTCGTGGCCATCTCTACCACGTCTTCCTCAGTCTGCGACAGCGCTCTTACCTGGATTATGAAGTCTCTCATTCCCAGGCATACCACTGGGGTAGGAGAGCGGGTTCTGATCGGAAACGGCCCACCCTGTATCCTGAAGGTTTTTCCCTGTTCTCAGGTTGCGAGGTACAGTAAACACCTGATTTCGAACATATCTTATTGGTGCCAGGCGTTCGATGGCTGCGCTGGTTAGCCAGCACCCGTCAGCTACGCTAGAGCTGCTGACCTACATAATCAGGATCATTAAGGCCAGCCAGCAATATGATGGACATTACTGGCGGGTGTACGACACAAACTATCGGCTGACGGCCGCAGCGACCGGGAATCGCAACTGGTCGCGCCTCGACACGGACCTATTCACCCCGCTTTTTCACAGGGAGTGCGCGTTTGGTTGCTGCTTGTTCTGTGTGCGACAGCATCGCGCACGTTACTGAAGATTGCCCGAAGGCTCTGTCTACTTCGGGCAGACACCAAGCTCGGGTCCGCAAAACCAGGGCACCGGAAGCCAAACGCCGCAAGCTGTTGCGCACTTGGGTCCCTCACGTTTGCGCAGAGTTCAACGCCAAGGGTAACTGTTCATTTGGCGCTCGATGTAGTTCAGGCGGAGGATGCTTCATCTATGGAACGGAACCTCTTCCACCTGTCTGACCATCCTCGGCATCGAGGTCGACTTCCTCGTGATGGAGCTCAGACTTCTGCAGGAGAAGTTATCCAGGCTCATCGACGCGCTCACTGAGTGGCGGAGCAAGCGCTCGGGCAAGCTCAAGGACCTGGAGTCTCTCGTAGGCCTGCTTCAACACGTCTCGCAGGTCGTCTGCCCAAGCAGTGTTTTTCTGCGGCGCCTGTACAACCTACTCGTGCAGACCGGCTCCTTCAAACCGCATTTTTCAGTGCGCCTCAACGGCGAAGCCCAGGCAGACATCGAATGGTGGTCGACCTTCCTGTCGAAGTGGAACGGAACCTCTATCCTGCGGCCTCTCAGAGCCACTAACCCAGACATCGAGGTCTGGTCAGATGCGTCAGGAGGTTCGGGCTGTAGCGCAGTATGGCTGCAGGTTCAGTGGGGCTCGCTGTTGATCATGTCGTCGAGCATTGCGGCTAAGGAACTCTTCCCAATTCTCGTGGCCGTGGCGATCTGTTATTCCATTCACCTTCATAGTCGCCTCCCTCTATTCAGTCCTACTTCGTCGTGTGGGGCTACCACTGTGGGCCCCGGGCGTTCGGTATCAGGGATACCCGTTGCTACTCCTCCGCCCTTACGGGGCGTGATAATTATTCCGTCATTATTGTCATGCGTGTCGCGGGGTGTCCTGGCGCCGCTTCAGTGGCAGTCTGCAATGAGAACTATCATTGCGGTGTATCTCTTTTCCCGTGCAGGTCGGCCGGGGGTGCTGGCAAGAGAAGTACCGGTATATGCGTCAGCTACGCAGGCTGGCAAGGTGTACCCCTACCACCGCTGACCGGCTTCCAGCGTTCCTGTCCGATGTAGTCACCCCCCTCTGCTGGCAGGCATGGGAGAACGCGCTGCGCCTTCATCCCGACCAGGAATTCGCGCGTTACATTGTGGTTGGGATTTCGGAAAGTTTCTGGATCAGTTTCAACTACGGCCTCCGAAGCTCACTCCGGACGTGCACACGAAATATGGGGTCGGCGTACATACGACCACCCCGATATTGTGTCGTCTTATTTGGAGAGCGAGCGAGCTCACGGATGAGTCAAAGGCCCCGTACAATCCTCGGCGGTCACTGCGCAGGTCAGCAGCTTTGGGGTCATCCCCAAGCGTCACCAAGTGGCGGCTCGTCCTGGACCTGTCTAGTCCTCAAGAGTGAAGCGTGAACGACGGGATCAGTCGTGACCTGTGCTCCTTCACATACATTTCGGTCGCGGAGATCGTGTTGGTCGTCCTTAGCCTTGGACAGGGCGCACTGTTGGCTAAGTCCGGCATAAAACACGCCTATTGGCAGATACCGGTACACCCGGACGATCGATGGCTACTAGGAATGCGATGGAACGGCCAGATGTTCTGCGATGCCACCCTACCCTTTGGTCTTCGGTCGGCCATGATCATTTTCTCGGCCGTTGCTGATGCTCCAGAGTGGATCGTAAAGTCAAGAGGGGCGTCCCACGTGTTCCACTACGTCGACGACTTTGTGATACTCGCCCCTCCCAACTCTGACAAGTGCAGCCGCGATCTCGGGCTGCTGATGCAAGCCTGGGCACACCTGGGGGTGTTAGTAGTAGATGACAAGACTGAAGGTCCTTCCACCTGTCTCACCATCCTCGGCATCGAGGTCGACTTCCTCGTGATGGAGCTCAGACTTCTGCAGGAGAAGTTATCCAGGCTCATCGACGCGCTCACTGAGTGGCGGAGCAAGCGCTCGGGCAAGCTCAAGGACCTGGAGTCTCTCGTAGGCCTGCTTCAACACGCCTCGCAGGTCGTCTGCCCAAGCAGTGTTTTTCTGCGGCGCCTGTACAACCTACTCGTGCAGACCGGCTCCTTCAAACCGCATTTTTCAGTGCGCCTCAACGGCGAAGCCCAGGCAGACATCGAATGGTGGTCGACCTTCCTGTCCACGTGGAACGGAACCTCTATCCTGCGGCCTCTCAGAGCCACTAACCCAGACATCGAGGTCTGGTCAGATGCGTCAGGAGGTTCGGGCTGTAGCGCAGTATGGCTGACGCAATGGCTGCAGGTTCAGTGGGGCTCGCTGTTGATCATGTCGTCGAGCATTGCGGCTAAGGAACTCTTCCCAATTCTCGTGGCCGTGGCGATCTGGGGCGGCTCGACGGTCCGTTTCTATTGCGACAATACGGCAGAGGTTCTCAACCGCCAAGCTGCCAAGGACCCACTTATCTGCCACCAGCTACGGAGTTTGTTTTACATTTCCACGCGGTTTGATTTGCACATTGTGGCTCGTCATACCCCTGGCGTGGCCCATGTTGCAGCGGACGCTATTTCCAGGAATAACATCCCTCTTTTTGGTTCGCAGGTCCTGGGAGCCTCCTTCTTCCCAGCACCTGTCCCTCCGGAGTTGGCTACGGGCCTCAGTGCTCCATCCCCAGCGTGGAGATCGCGAGACTGGACAGCCTGGCTCCGTTCTATTTTAGCCAGGCTCTAGCATCGTTTACGCAACGGTCTTACCAGTCCACTCAGCATTGGTACTCGGACCTCTGCTCCCGTATCTCCATACCACCACCAGTCCCAGTCTCTCAATCCACTTTGTGTTTGTTCGTTACTCATTTAGCGACTCAAGGTGTGGCTCATAAATCTATCAAATGCTGCCATCCGTCACCTTGAGATAGCGCTGATGGTACAAGTGCTGTAGCTAGCCCGTGTCAGACTATCTGCGAGCTACTAGCGTGGGTAAAACGCATAAGCCAAGCCCATCAATTAGCGGTACCGCGCATGTGCAGTTCGCCGAGGGTTTGCACTTTAATGCTTTTCATTGTGTAGAAGTACATGGGCATCAATGTGTTCAGTAGAATGGGCTAAAACAATAATAAGTCCATACTTTCTCAGATTTTACAAGCTCATTAACATGCTAGGAAAAACCAGTGTGCAACTTCATTGGGAGCAAACAACGCCATTATGCCACATTGGCCTTCTTTGCTTCCTACAGTAAGTGAAAGCATTACTCCCTACTTAAAAATATGGGAGGAGTAGCACCTGGGTAGCAGAAGTTAACGTATTTGTAATACAAGCACACACATGCGTAATACATAGGGGCAGAAAGATAGCAACTTCGAGTAGCGGTAAAGGTGGTGTTCCCTACCACAGAGAATGTATGGATGATGGGATTATCACCGTATTGTGTATATCCTAACATTTCGACACACAGTATTTTGAAAATCTTCTGCGAAGTTTGTAAATGCCTCTGAGGCAAACTCAAATATCCTCAGCATGAGCAGATAGGCCATACGTCCCACAACCCTCATACGTTTGCTACTTGCACAATCTCTTCACTGTGATGCTCTGGCTGGAGAAAGCGAAAATTATAGGAGCACAGGTCGTAGACATACATAAATGTATCCACTTTTAGTTTTTCTGCCTTTTTGCCTACAGCAACAGTGAGGGGGACCCTGTTGCGAGTATATGCAGCGGTATTTAAATGCATGGCCGAGTGTTTTGTGACAACTATCTGCTTTCTGTGCAGGCTCTTCTTTTTCCTTTTTTCCTTGGAAAAAAAGAGTTGTACAGGGTGTAGTTCACTTGTTTGCTTTGCGTTTGCCTTTTAACCTCACCTTGTTGATGACACATGTATTTATAACTAAGACCATGCTAGGGCACATGTTCCATTAAGTCCCGAGGGTTTGCACTTCAGTGCTCTTACTGTGAATACTAATATGAAGCAACCCAACTAACGATTTCAGGCAAGATACTGCTCACTACCTTGGCTGAAATCCTTAGTTGGGTTGCTCCTGCTCCCCCAATAATACATATTCAGTATTCACTGTAAGATCACTAACGAGCAAGCCCTTGGTGCTATAAATGCACGAATATTTCTCAGTCTGTCGTACAGTTTGCTTCACCATCAATGACAAGAATAAAAGCACTTAAAATGCAAACCTCGGCGCAAGGAAAGCATTGCACATACGTTGATTTGCACAATGCCCATTGATAATTGATTGGCTGGGCGCAACGCCACCTGGTCTAACCCGTCAATAGAGCCAGTTTCTCGCTCTGCAACAGGTTAGCTGTACAAGTGGGTACTACGCATTTAGAGCAACAATTGACTGGATACACATCCTGAAAGGGCTAAGCATGTTCGAGGTAAGCCAGTGCCAAGCATACATAATAGTGGCCTTTTCGCTTGTTTTCACGCCACATCTCTTGAATGCAGCCATTTCATGAAAGTTGCCATTTTTATTACTTTCTAGCTTCTCGTAGCTGCTGGTATTGCTCATAGGCCGCCTCAAGCCTGTAGTGCCAGAATAGCTACAGGCAAACACACACACATGTACTGTAACCCTCCCCGTGTGTGTAAAAGCGGGCACAGACAGCAACGGTTGCGAAATATCGCGCTTTTACGCACTCAAGCGGGAAGTCACGCCAATTTACGCAGACTTAGCGTTCGCGCGTAGTAACACGCGTCGGCGTGCTCCACCCGCAATCGCTGACGTACACACTACGCTCACGGTATTTCGCGGAAGTTTTTTCAGCAAACGCTCGTTCGCGCATAACCGCGTACTGACACACCCATCTTTGTGCGGAACAGCGCTCTAGAGTGTAAATACTTGGGGGTGTGACCGCGCTTGTTTACGCTTAACCACGTAATGACACGCCCACGGCGTGCGTAATAGCGTGTGACAACGCGTAGTAAACCACCGCGAAATAATGCGCCTATACCTGAGCTTGCGCGCTTTGTTTTACACGATCGCTGCACATGCACGCTGAGGGTTAATTATCTTTACTTTAGGTAAGTGAAAAAAGAGCATAAGTTGGATTATTCCCTTTTGTAGCACAGCCACATGAACGAACATGTTGTTACGCATGTACAGGCAACATAAGAAAAGTCAATCTCAAAAGGTAAACTGACCGAACTGCCTCCGATTACAGAACATAAATCTTTATTACCAACCTGTTTAACGAAGCTGTTTACAGTGAATTTCGATGTCACACCATCCTTGCCTTGCTTATTGACAATGTCCACTCGGCCAAGAATAATGCTCCCCAGCCATGGTAGAGTGAGTAACATGATGGTACTACCAGCAAGTGTCCTAAATGTACAATATTCAAACACACTGAAATTGCGTATGTAGCTAAAAATCACCAAACACAAAAGTATACATTGTGCATTACTGTACTTACATATATATGTACATTATATACACTATGCAGAAGTATGCGAGTGCATCCGGGTTCCTGGTTGTATTGGGCAAAGAAAGCCCACAATTTTTTGTTTACTCAGTGTTGATTCCCTCCAAAGCAAAGATATGTGTACTTTATATACACAGTAGGTTTGTAAAGACCTTACCGTGAGAGAGGCTAGAGTCAAAAAAATATGGTGTCGAAGTTGAACATTGAACGTTCAGTTATTTGCTAAACAGCAAGACTTCATGAGAGTAGAAGAATAAACAATGCATGCCACACGCAACTTAAAGTGCTCTGTACTGTAGCAGCACATACTTACAGATGAGCAGGCCAATTACTATGCACATGTGTAACTCTCGAGATTCAATCTGGTGGGTAGAGTGTTAGGGTATGGAAGGTGCCTGTGATCTCCCCAGGGAAGTTCTATGTTCCCGAAGATCACATTCACATTCTGAGGAAGATTCACAGGCATAACATAGACATGTAAACAACCTTCTTCCTCTGGTTTGTGGCGGTGCGATGTCAGTATTATTTACGTACCCCATTCCGACAGCTATTTCTTTGTTGGCCTGCTCTCTGCTCTTGCCCACCCCCGACGCTATAATCATGGCCGAGTCAGGGACTGCCCCAAGCAGTGGTAGCACTATTCCTCCAACGAGAGCAGATGGCAGTCCCAGGTCCAGCAACATCTCCGCTCCATCTAAGTGGACACAATCAGCTTAGTTTAAAAGAGACCTGGTTATGAGCTCTGAGTGAAGTGAGTCTTCACAGTATCTGGGTTACACTGACTGCACTGCACATACCAGTGCATTTCTAATACGTGCAACCACCAAATTCAGCACCTCCAATATGCTGTAGGCTCAAAAGGCACACTACGCTGGACTTGTACTTCCTTGCCTAAAACTGGCTTGGTCATAATAACATATTTCCATGTCTATGGACCTTGGCCAACAAGGCATTCCTTGAACGGAGTGACTGTTGCACATCCATGTAAAAATCACACCAATACAGTCCTAAAGGAACTTGCTTCACGAGAGATGAATCGTTTTTACCTTGTTTAGACATTGCCAAAGTGTTGCCGAAGTCAAGTTTGTGGTTTAATGTACTTTCGAGCCATATTGTAATAGTTAGACATGTCATAGTAAACTACACATGGATGTAGGACGCTGAGGTCCTGGGGTCGGGTATTTCAAGAGAGTGAGGATGCTACTACCGTGCCCAAGGCTTCCTCGTGGTTTCCGTGACTCATCTAGCTGTTTTTGAGTACAGTCCGTGGAAAACATGAATAATGTGTGGGCAAAGGCCCTGTGGGTGAACACTATTCAGTAGTGTCCTTGTTCTGTATTCCTCCTTCTACACTTATGTACAAATCGAATTTCAGTATTTAAATCTGCCCTACTCTAATCACATAAGGCTGAGCATGATACTATAGTTCAGCTTTAGGGTATCACCATTACCTGATATAACTTTAGCTGCAAAACCAAGGAAAATACCATAGAAGATGACCAAAACAATGTTGCCAGTTATCTGTATGAGGAACATAAAACAGCAAGGCGAGGAAGGAAGCCATTTCTGCACACTGCAGGAACTTACGGTTATTGAGCACGGAAGTATGTCTAGGACGCAGGACTGGAGAAAAACATGTTGGTAACTTCGATAGCCGACAATGATAGGAACTTACGGGAGAAGCAGACTCAAAACCGCTTCCCTCACCACTTTCGTACCATGCGTTCTCCATCGGGGCGCCAACACTAGACTTTTTGTTTGCGGTGGGAGGGGCTATACTCACACACCCCGCCTTTACAAACATAGGGCGTAGTAAAGTATCCGGGACCCCGGCTTACGCTAGAATCCTGAGTTTTTTTTCCTGCCCGTCCGTTTGGCTTCGACAAGGAAGTGCGGTGGATACCGGCAGGATACCGCAGGATACCGTACTGTCGTCCTACTGGACTGTCGGCATGCCTGATCATGTCAGATTTGAAGGAAACTCTGATCGGTGAGTGCGTCGAATTCGTGTAACCTCTTGTAGCTTTGTAGGTGATCTACGAATCGGTCATACACGTGTAGATGTTAATTTCCTTCGTTTCAGTTTGTGCGATTCCTTGACGTCTTGATCATTGTGTGTATAGCAACCCATCTCTCTCCCCCCTCTCCCCAGACATAAACCGGTTGTTTCCGAATTTTAGCGCTTTCATCAAAGTCATACTGAAGAAGGAAACGTTGTCCGAGGAAGCTGAGTTGACTCGGTCACGTTACGAGACGATAATAAAAGGTATGGAGGAAGAACACCCCCTACCTCGACCTGCCAGCCTCATAGGAGATGACGACAGTGGGTATCACTCGACAAAACCGAAAGGTGTGTATGATTATATGTAAGTATGCCTGTTCTCAGTGTCGTTGGTGACTGACTGTGAATTGTGGACCTGCAGGGTATGCATGATTTATCCTCACTGTTGCAAAATATTGATGAATGAAAACAATAGCTCCGTACAGCTCGCATGTATCTTCTATCCAGCTAGTACATGGGTCTCTTCATGGTTTAGCCTCAGTGGATAGTGTGCATAAGCTGCTTCTGTTACGTCAGTGGCAAGGGTTTTGTATTACATATGACGTACTAGGGTCCAAACCGTAATAGACATGCACTATGTAGATAGCCCTACCATACATAAAGACACAGTCGACAATTATTGTGGTCCAACTGCAGATGTTCCTTTGTCTCATTGCATCTGGGGAAAATTTGTGGCGCAGGGAAATACCATTCCCCCACAGTCTATTAGCATCAGCGTAGTGTGATCTTGTTGGTGTGTGGCAAGCATTTTTAGCTTTTAGTACAGTTTTTGTGCAGAGGAGTGTTTAAATCACTCCATTTCACCAATGTGACCAACCATTTATAGATCAATCCCTGTATATTGAGGACAAAACCATCAAGTATGGCTTTATTCATTGGTATTCCTGTGTTGATCCACAAAAACAACTTTAGTATAAGCATGATACATGAAGTATGCAGTAAGTTGTGTACACATTTCAAAGCCACATGTGAGTTATACGCCATGTGCATGTGTAAGCCGCCCAAAGGGACTGGAATGTGCAAACAGAGACTGTTACATGGTTTTATTCAGCTTGGTGTTTGTCACACACCTGTATTCTGTACTGAGAACTATCCTGCTAAGTTTTTCAAGAACCTGTGCAATAACTTGTCCTATAGAACTAGTTTTGTGAAAAGTTTGTATTAACCCTCTGCATGCATGCACAGCGAGCATTATAGTACTTGGTCTCTCTGTGTGTCTCTCTGTTACCGCTGTTCTAGCACTACACTAGGCTATGAGGCAGCCAATGAGGTCTATATACAGTACCAATGGCTTCGGAGCAACAAGGGCTCTGAAATGATGATTTTTCTGAAACCACCGGTGTCAAACGGAGCATGAAACACGAGTGAAATAGTCAAAATGCAACGAGCAAAGGCTTACCTCGACTAGTTTTTGCCTAATATATGCTCTGTTGGAGAATTAAGTTGCTCTGAATACAAGTATTTAGTGCAGTGTTGCGCGAAATGCTAGTCGTTGATGCTGCTAGCCCGGGTTGCAGTGAGAAACAGACCACGTGGCATGGCCCCGACCATCCTTTAGCAAAAATATTTACATGTGCGTAGTGTGTCGTTGGTAGTGTCTACAGCGCGAGCATCTTGTGCCCAGGGTTTGCACTTACATTACGAGTGTCGCAGAACACTTTATGTCTACATTGATTTTGTGGGAAAGTGTACAATGTACGAAGGGTATAACTAACTGATTTTGGTTTATGTAAGGATAAACTATAGACCACTGCAGTCCAAAATGTCAAGGACCATACTATATTGTAGTACGTTGATTTTCCGTTGCTTGAAATTTCCAAGTTAACTTCTTAATAGTGTGGGATGCAAGTTAGTTGCTTGTAGAAGGGAAATTTTGTGTGATCGATTCCGTGTGCCCATTGCACCATTACCCCACTTGACCCACACACACTTGAAATCATGTGTTTGTCAATTAGACAGTAAATATGTTAAAACAGCTCTTCGGTGAATAGTACTAGCCCACCTAGAAGTAGCCGACTCACTCCAATTGCAACATGTCATTAGCCCTTGGGCTCCTAATGGTGTAGATTTCACAGACTTGCTGCCTAACTATTAGCTTTTGTCTTGAGCAAGCCACTGCATTTGTACAGACTCATGCAGTGTAATGTTTCTTATTGTTGTATACATATTTACAGTACATAACATTACGGTAATACATGTATATATATGGTATGCTGAGTGTGTGTAATCATAGCCGCCTGCTGTGCACTCAATTACCCCATGACTACTGTTAGTGTTGGCGGCAAAGTGTCTATACAGCACATTATGAATACAGTTAACTATCCCCCTGGGGTCCTATGGGCTTCTGAAAGTTATGTATGTTAAGTTGCACAAAGGATGAGTGTGTGTGCAAGCCACCTACACACTGTGTACCATCCTACAGGATATACACTTGCATGGGTTCCTGCATTGAATATGTGGTTGACATTACTAGTAGGTGAATGCGCTGCATTTTTGGCGAGCGGGAGCGATCTAACGATTGTGTGCATGCGCAAAAAAGCCTGTGTAGTAACTGTAGTCGACCCTCTCTCTCCTCGGCAGACTCGGCGGCAATTCGCCTTGTCTGATAGCTTCGGATCTGTTGGAGCCTTGCCTGTTGCGTTTCCTCTGATTCCGCAGCACGTGTAGCTCTTGCTCGTACACGACTTCTCGCTAGTCGTGCTTCCGCTGTTTCCGTGGCCAGGCGTTGCCTTGCCCGTTCCCTATCACACAGTCGCCGTCGAGAAAGACGAGCCTCTCTTTGCTCAGAAGTCTCACAGGCACGACGTTCTCTTTCCCTTTCCCGTCGACGGCGAAGGGCATCTCCTCTAGACCGATCCATCGCAGAAACTGTGGTTGGCTTCCTCGAGTTATATACACGAGAGAAATATACGGTGTAAAAATTTGAAATGTTTTTCTGATAAAAAGAAACGCGTGGACGACGTACGGACGGTCGTATATAAATATATAGAAAAATCGCGCCGTTCGTACCACTAGGTTAGCTCGCTCCCGCTCGCCAATTAAACAATGTGAATGCTGTACTAACAAGGGGAGCTTGCACAGTGAGGGTTATGTGGGTAGGGCAAGTTAACACCCAGTGTGCATATACGCTACTTAAAGTGCATGTGCACAAGGCAATGGCAACATGAAATCTCAGTTTGGTAACTAAGTTTTGAAGTTAGAAGCCAATGTGAATACCTAGCTCTAACCCTGCCTCTATTGTTTTTATTGAATTCCTGCATGACAGCTTAATGTTTGTGTTTAGTAGAGAAAGAGAGAGCAGAGTAATAGATGGAAGTCCGAAGTAATACCATTCACAGCAACACAGTATCACTAAGTACGGTAGTATTAATTATAGGGATGACACAGGTCATCCTGCATTATGCCCATACATTTGCATGTTTCACTTCCAGTTTGAATCAGGTCCAACTTTTGACACATCAGGTTGATCCGTATGGTCACAAAGAGCATGTATCCAAGAAATGGATTAAATTGCATAATCGGTACTTGATTTATTCAAGAAAGTTAGTTTCAAAATTCTTCTTGTTGTTGTTGTTGTTCAGTTTAGACACGCGTATCTCAAAACCCACTTAATAAGATTTGGGAATGAGACTTTGCACAAAGATTGGAATCCATGACAGGTAGAGCAAGAGCATTTTTATTTCACAATTTTGTTTACATGTAAAAACAAAAAAAATAGCCCCAGGCAATACATTATGATACAGACAAATAAACTGTGCTAACTAGGTAAAGCTAATACCCAGAGTGATAAAACTTAGTACACATATACAACCCATCATTAGTAACAAAATGTAAACGTTACAAGTTTGTAAACAACAACAAACATCCTCAGGCAATAAAAACTTGTATATTGTGTTTGTGCCTCTAACTTGCTAATGGTTGGTCCACTAAAAATGAAACTTGTTACACTGATGTACCATGATGAGAGTTCATTGAAACAGAAATTACAAGTTTGTAAACAACAACAAACAGCCCAAGGCAATAAAAACTTGTAAATAGTGTTTGTGCCGATAAATTACTTGTGGTTGGTCCTCTAACAATGAAACTTGGTACACTGATTCACCATGATAAAGAGTTCACCGAAACAGAAAATACAAGGTTGTAAACAACAACAAACAGCCTCAGACAAAAAAAGACTTTTAAATGGTGTCAGTGCCTATAACTTGCTTTTGATGTGCCTTCTCACAATGAAACTTGGTGCACTGATGTAATGTGAATGACGCAAAACGTCTGAGGCAATAGCTTAAGGCCACTAATGTTACTTTTTTTACGGGCTTATGCCCAAAAATATTCCCTTTTATATGCAAACCATGCATGTGAATGCAGTAAAAAAAGAAAAGGAGACAAGTAAATAAAAACATTCTTAGAATAAAAAAAATGTGTGGAATATAGCGATGCCATAAAAAGTAAGGAGACAAGACAGGGATGACCTAGTGAACATGATGTAGTAGTGCAATGGATGATGGCTACATAGTTTGAACTGACACCGCTTGCTCATGTAAACTTTCCTCCACACAAGCCCTATATTGTCGCCACCTTTACTGTTTGTTTAGTGAAGTGCGAGGACAATGGTGAAAGGATTCTGTATTTAGATGGCCAAGAACGCAGCATTGTAAAACTGGTTAGTTAAGCAAATGTAGAAGTCATAGACTTCACTCAATGCAGTCACAACTGAAAACTGAGTAGATGGTATTACCGGTCTAATGTGCTTATGATAGCTGTGCCTCAAACAAGGGAGCACACTCGTACTTCACGACAATATAGGGCTTGTGTGGAGGAAATTTTACATGAGCAAGCGATGTCAGTTCAAAGTATGTAGCCATCATCCATTGTACTACTGCATCATGTTCACTAGGTCATCCCTGTCTTGTCTCCTTACTTTTTATGGCATCCCTATATTCCACACTTTATTAATTTTGTTTTAATGTGGAACAGATCATATGGAATGCAAGTGTCACTTGTGTGCTTTCTCCCTCCTTCAGTGGTGTCAGTTCCTGATATACCAACTGTGTCCCATACTGGGTTCCTTTTGAAACGGGATGACAAGTACCGCTGGCACAGGTACTGGTGCCGAATTGACAGCAAAGACATGAAGTTTCTTGTCTTCAGTGATTCACATGAAGAGACTCTTTTGAAAACTATTTCTTTATCTACAGTCACCACTTCGTTTGGCATACCACAAGCCACTGAGTGTGACAAAGAAAACGGGTTTATCCTTTCCTGTGTGGCAGATGGTGGAGAGGAAAGTGGAGGTGGTGTCATAGAAGACGTTGTTCTTGCTGCTTACTCCGATGTGGACTACCAGCAGTGGCGCTCTGCCCTCACAATTTTGACTGGGACTCGGGATTCCCTGAGAATATCATCTGGCTCGCTCCTGGATGGCTCTCACTGGGGGGCTCTGCCACCTTGCCATGATGCTGCATCCACCAGCTCTTCCAATTTCAGTTCCAATAGGGAAAGTGTCATATCAACAACTTCATCCTTGCCCTACATGCTAAGGCTCCCAAACCACGAGTCTCCCCCGCGTGGTCGCAGCCCTTTAGGTCAGGGGTCCAGTATTGGGGACACCTCATCCCTCTCTAGTAAACAACTCCAGCCTCTTCCCTCTCTACCCCCTGAGGTATGTATATACTGGCACTATCTATGCTTGAACATGCATTGTGAGTCATGACATATTTTTGTGCTCATGAACCTTCAACCAACAGTGCATGCAGAATAAGTGTTATGAATCAAGTCCATATGCAATTACAAATATGATATGAAAGCACAGCAGGTGCAGAGCAAACAAATCAACATCACCCATGATACTGCAGTGAAGGCAGAGAGCTCAAACACCTAAACTACTAGGGCAGATCAGATAGCAGTATGCAAACCCCTAGTTATTAACCATCGGCGCGCATGCGCAGCGATGGTTACTGTAGTTGCGTGTGTGTCTGTCTGTTACCTAAAATCTCACTTCACGAGCTATGAACCGCTCCACAAACAATATCACGTTTTCAGAGTCAGGTATAGGTCGAAACGTAGTATGTAGGATTTTTTCTGAAACTGCTGCGTTCGGGAGTTATGGCGTGAAATACGAGCGAAAGAGCCAATATGCGAATTAGAACAGGCTTACCTCGAGCGTGTCCGCTTGCTCTGTGTATCTTGAGGGCACAAGAAGTCAAAACGAAGGGCGTGTATTGACTCCTGCATGTTATTTAGTAGTGTAGCTAGCCCGTTACTAACTATATCAGAGAACAGACAAACAAAAGCAACGTGGACAGTGGCTATACACTCAGCCCAATCTGGACGCCCCTGCTGACAGTTCACCCTGTTTCCCTGTGACAGAATCTAGTCTCACGTCTGCTATGGCTCACGTCTTGTCTGTGTTGTCCCAGCCTGCATGTCTAGTTTCTATTGTACTCTGTTGCTCTGTTTCTTATCTTCTCACCTTGTTTTCACTCTTTCCTCACTTGGGCATACAGTCACTACTTAAAGGGTCAGTTCTGTAGTTGTACTTACCGCGTGCGCATTTCTATAGCTTCAATGTTTGGAAATCTGTGCATGCGCGAGATAGTCTTTAAAACAGTTTCCACATAGGCTAAAATTCTGCATAGATCGTTTACCAAGCCTACTGTTGAGCTAAAAAAATGGCACAGTGCACAGCGAAAGATGTGCCTCACTTGGTAGCATGCTTACCTTGTCTGGAGCCTTTCACAGAAAGCTGTGTAGGTCGGTCTTCCTCAACTTTGCTTACATGCAACCCTTCTCTAGCGAGCGTGCACATCTTCGTCGAGGGTTTGCACTTTTAAAATTCGCAAGATTTTTAATTTACTTGTCTCCACTCATTTTTATATACTACTACGTGCTTTCTGGAACATGCCATTGTATGTGCTTGCTACCACACCATTTCCCGTTGTTTTTTTAGACGACAAGTGATAATCTGTGTAGTAGTATTTCTCTCTGGCCATTTTTATAAACCACCATAGAATAGTTTGCTGCGAGCGAAGTGAGCCTTACTAGTTGTTTCAATGGGGGAGTATTCTATATTATATATATATGTGACTGGCACACAGGCACTGCACGTACCGTAATGTTGTAAATACGCACAAAACACTCACGAAATATTGAACTGCTCACACCACAATGTTTGTAATTCGCCAAACTCATGCAAAATTCTTGCGCCAGCACGCCAAACAATGCGATGCATTCCTCTAGTTTATGGCAAGTTTATGGCTACCTTGTTTTGAAAAAGAAGTTTGTTTAGACCCTAGTGTGGATGTTTCCTCTGTCGATATCCGCTACCAGTTGCATAGAGTATACAAAAACCTTACCATGGCACTCCGGAGTTGGGGGGATGGGGGGGACTGAACTAACAGATAGCAATGAGATGTTTTTGGTGATAAGTGAGATTTTTCAGAGGTGGATCCTAGTTTATCCATTCTATGCTTATCCGACTCCCTTTGGGTTGACAGCTTTAAGTATGTGTTTGAAGAGAGCATCTCCATGCCTTTTTACTTATGCTTTGATACCTTATTGCTAGAGTTGAGCCCATTATGGTAAATCTTTCCTATTATTCCTCCGCGTTGCCCCTATTATTCCCTTAGAGCTGGCATGCGCTAAACCCTTGTGTAAAAGTGGGTGTGTAGGACGAGGAAAAGTGCTGAGTCTGCACTTTTGTTCGTGCTTTTTTTGCCGTTTCTGGCACTTCCCGGAGAGTGATGCGCTTGATTTTCGCTCTTTATGCCTATAATTCATAGTGAAGATATCCAGGGTAAGACAAGTCTGGTTACCGTGTAAAACGACCGTGGAAGGGCAGAAGATCGCTCAAACGCTTACACTGCAGTGCAATTTCGACCCATTATTTCCGAATTATGCCTTTTTATGGGCAGCCCCTATTATTCCAAAATTATGCTAACATATTGGGCGCCAGCCTACTTATTGCTCATGCTTCTTCTTGCAACTGCATGAGGTTTCTCACACAGCAGCTTCCCACACTGTGACAAAATCTGTATTCAACTGTTATGCGTTACATGGACTCTGGAATCCCAAACATTTGAAAGTGTATGAATTAACTTCCTTTATGTGCATGGGGCGAATGTGCGAAATGGCAGATAAATGAGTTAAGATAACAGTCTTACACATGTGTGGCACAGTAGATGTTGATGACCCCAGCAGGATGAAGTGGGTGTACAGTGAGATCATTGAGCATATTCACCCATTTGTTCTGTACATCCTTGGGCACATCGTGTCATTTTGTGCCAAAGAAACTGCTGCACTTCAAAGGCAGTGTGTCAAAATGTTGCCTTACAACAAACCTGTTGATTCCAATAACCTCGATATGTGTAAGTGGCAGAGACTGATATCGTAAGCATGTAGCTTTGTTTCCAGGCCTTTGCCGCCACAAGCTTTTTATTGCACACAGTGTATGGGGTTAGTTTGACAAATTGTTGTTTGTAAAGAATTTTCTGCATGTACTCTTCAATACTTCCAGCAATGTGAAACTAACCCTTAGAGTATGCAGCAAAATTGAGATGAGTACATATGAGGATGCATCCGTAAATGCACACTTTTCCCATTCCTATTGAATATTATATTAGACCCAAACACATGAATATATAACGAGGCGTTTAAAGCAAGGTCTAAAAATCTAAAAGAATATTTTATGTTCCTAGCGTTTAAAAAATGTGGCGAGGAACCTCCTTAATGTAATAAGGAGATACTCATGTTCATAGACTGACTTAGTGCCAAAAACGTAAGTGCTGAATTAGCCAATTGTGCCAGAGGACATGATTTGTGTTGTTTGACGATGGTCAGCATATATACTAATTAACTGACAGACAAGCACTTGATTTTGTCGATAACCCTTGGTGCTGTTTGAGTACACACAAAGGAGGCTTTCCATTGGAATTATAGGGTTGCAAGGAAGTAGACATGCAATACGTTTTGTATGCACAAGTCTACATGGTCCCTGAGTGCTGATTCTCCATCATAGATTAGTATGAGACAACACTCCCCGTGTAAAACAATTCGCGCAAACAACAGTATGTGCACGTGGTTGCACTGTCTCTACCGATGCGTTTCTATGCACTACTACACACGAAGGTGGGCATGTCATTACGAATGTGAATATGTTGCTCACTTTAGTTTTGTGCAACTTTCATATTTTTAGGATGGAGATCATGATAAAGAGGATGATGACAATGCCAGTGTGGGAACAATTTACGAGAATATTGACAACCTGGTGTTACAGTTCGACTCCACCTTGCAAGCAACGGTACAAGCCATGGGCCAGGTTGGCCAGCACCTTGGAAACAGTAAGAAACCAAAAAAGAAGGACCGTTCCCTCCTCCGCCAGACTTCCTTTTTCAAAGGAGGTAAAGGACACAAAGCAAGGCTTTCAACAGCACAGAAAAATGAGCTGGAGAGAGGGGAGTATTTTGCTGGCCACCTTTACAAGAGGAGTTCCAGTGGGTCTTGGAAGAAAAAGTGGTGTGTGCTGAAGGGAGCAGTCTTATCCTATTCAAAGTTAGTAATGTTGAAATCTGGCTATTTTCCACAACAAGGTGTGTTTCTCAACACACAATAATAGTTTGCAGAATCAGCCATTACTTTGTTTTATGTTGTAGGCGCAGTTTGTTTTTCTGAGTGCCTTTAATTTCCCTCTGCACTAACCAGAGTGAGAGTGTGAGTGGTTTTCATACTCTCTAGTAACACAAAGTGTCGCGTTTTAAAAGTGTATTGTATAGCAGTGTGATTAACCCTCGGCACGCATGCGCACCGAGGGTTACTGTACTTGGTTCGTTAGTGAGTGTGTCTGTCTGTCTGTTTGTCTGTTACCACGTTTTCTGCACCACTTGCAACGGGACAACAAAAGAGTGATACCAAAAGGTTCAGGGCTACACTGGCTTGATTTTTTAATTTGGCGAATTTCGTAAAAGTACTACGTTCCAGATTTATGGCGTGAAAACCAAGTGAACAAGCCCATATGCTAATTAGCACAGGCTTACCTTGACCGGGTCCGCTTGCTCGTATCTTTAAGGTACAAGAAGTCACAACAAATGGCGTCTATCGACTCGCGCATGCTATCTACTACTGTAGCTAGTCTGTGCCAGACTCTCCACGCGGGAGAACACGAGTAAACAAAGCGCATACTAATAGCCCAGCCCAGCCCATCAATTAGCGGTACCACGCATGCGCAGTTCGTCGAGGGTTGCACTTTAGTGCTTTTCTTTATCGGGATGGAAGCATTAGTTGAATATCTAGATACTTAGGGAAGGGGGATCAAGTTTTGAGTAAATTTTATGATTGTATAGATCAAGGGTTGGTGTTTGGAATAATATTTCATTTAACAGCATGCCCATGTAAGGTAACATCCGTGGTGAATCCGTAATAATCATTATATAACTGATGGCAGAGACACAAGGTATGTGGGTCCATTCGCCACTTGTATTGAAAGTGCATTTTTTCCAGTCCCATATAATGAGAGGTATTATAACAAAAGTCATTAAAAAGGTCTAGCTTGGCACAGTATCATTCAAGCAATGAAGAAGTGGTCAAGTTTAGTGCTGGGATTATGTCTTAACTGAATTGAAAGAGAAGCTTCTCATGAGTTTTTAGGGAAGCACCCCAGTTTTAGGTAGTGGGCTTTGTGAAGATAAATTTGGTTTCCTAGCAGCAGGCAGGTAGAAGACAGACACCTGTATTAATGTGTGTACATGTACTCCTGGCTCCGCCCATGTTTCCAGTGCTATTACTGCCTCTTAGTATTAATCAACAAGGTAACCCTTATGTTGGAATTTTATTTTTTTTAACACAGAAACATGGAAGATGTAGACGGTAGAGAGTATGTTGTATTGGATTCTCAAATAGAAAGAACTACAGACCCCAAGAAGAGCTTTGCATTCAAAATGAATTTGAGGGGTCTTCCAGAACCACTGTACTTTGGCACAGACGATGAAAATGTGATGAATGAGTGGATAAAGAAGCTGGAATGTGCCAGTATTAGCAAAAGTAAGTAACGTAAGTACTTGTTAAAGCACCGTTGCTGAATAGAGACAACATCCGAGTTCAATAATTTCCGTAGTGTACAAGCGTAAATGGTGGTTTTTAGCAAAACTGGGCGGCTGAAGTCTGACGTATCGATGGCTTTCCAGCTTACAGTACGTAGCTGCTGCTTTTACCGCGCACGAACACTGGTCGAAGTCGAATAAGCAAAGAAGACCAACCAAGGGGACCGCAAAATTCGTAATTGTGCACAAATTAGAGAGCGCTGCATTTTCTCCATTCCTTGCTGTGTATGTAGCGGCGATGGAGGTAGTGTGGCGCATAATTATAGAAAGCTATAAGTTTTTTTCCTGGTACTTTTCGAGTGCTTACATTGCTGTTTCTGGCGAGAAAATTCAAAACCGTTCCAACTGCAGGAAAATGTAGCATTGTTGTTCGCAATATAGCATTTATGGTGCTGTCAGCGCCTTTATACGCCCACGCATTTGGCTACATGTAGTTTTACACGTGTTGTCAATATGCTAAAGAGAGCCAGAAAAGGGTTCCTTTACTCTGCAGTATATATTCCACATTTAGAGAACATTCTCCTCACCTGGCAAGTGCTGACTTGCCTACCATTTTCCCCAACATATTAGCTCCCTCAGCTCTAGCAAGCCCAGTGTATTGGCTTGTCATTAAGTATACCCGTAAGCTTGCGTGTGATCAGGCACATTTTCGCTTATAAAATTCACCTCACTAACAAATTATTGTAACTGCCCCCTAGTGTTGTATGTATCTGAAGAAGGCATTCTGACTGGCCTTATTGCGAATGAGTTTGTCAATAACACTTGCTGAAGATTGTGGTGCCGCTGGCTCTTTCTCATATCTGCAATGTAGCCAGCCTGCCAAAAGGTGCTATCACTCTGCTTGATTGCACAGTATTCAGCTACGGTATGTTCTAGCTAACCCTGAGCTAAGATCGTGCCTGGTAGAATCTGCGTACTGTGCCAGGAGAGTAACCACGAGTTCACATTGAGCTTATAGTACACACCGGTACAGTACACACACGTTAGTGACGTATAATGTGATCGTGAATTTAGTCCTGCCACACATAATCTGTGACCTCTTCTGGCCGCCTAGTCATCTTTTGTTGTTTGCTACGTACGTGTACATACTGAAGAAACTTACGGTTCTGTGTATACATACAATTCAGGAGACTTTAGCTGGGACATGTGGAGAGATCAGCAATCAGATGAGCAACCTTCTCGTTATCACAGCCAGACTTCTCTGGACTCTGTCGAAGTAAGGAAGAGTCCGTTATGTACATTAATGTTTAATTGCATTAACCTTTAATGGTTTTTTGTCATTGCAATTCTCTCCATGTTTGCCCTGGTATTGAACTTGTCTGGTTGCATAACCGGCTGCCAGATGAACAAACGCCCAACCAGCTGTGTGTGTACTGTTCCGTCATAAACTTCAGAATTTGCTACTTGCTTTGGCTACAATTGAACTTTGCTCTAGTGCTATACAGCCATGTGCCACGTCTTGTTACCTGGCCACCGTCGACCAATAGCACTACGTTGCTGCATGTGCATGTGACAGTGAACGGCAGGTAACCAGCCTAACATGCGCGTGATACTATATGACAGAAAGAGGATGTTCAAGTGCTAAGTAATGCTTGTTCGCCTGGTGTCATCTGACTTGCTTAACAAAACTGTGAAACGTGGAACTCTCTCGCTCTTTATTCTCTGCGAATGTGAGTTTATAAGTGAGTATAGCGTTGACCGGTTGCATGGCTGGTTAAACAACCGGACAGCAGTTGGGCATCCTGATGGAACATTATGTACTACATAGTGTGATGAAGGGCCTGGGCCTTCTGCAAAGCCTTACTGATCATAAACATGATTATACATGAAGCAATTTTGTGTAAGTTTATGTGATAATTTTTTACTTTCCAGATGTCAGAGAGTCACTACAACGTTCCTCGTTCTATTCATGCTGCACAAGCCTCTGCTGCTTCTTCTGCAGTACAGCCAATGCCTGCAGGAGTTGCTGTCAACAGTGGGATATATAGTGTACCCAGCTCCCTCCTTGCATCGGATGTCAGTAACACTTTCAGCATTCAGGGCCAGTCCTTTTCTCTCTCTGGTGATCCATATGCCCAGTATGATGTCCCTCGTCCCCTGAGCCTAATCCCTGATGAAGAGGCTATTTACGACTACCCTGAGAATGTGGTTGACATGGAGATCTACGACTATCCACCTGATGCTCTTTCCCTGTTGCCACCACCACCTGATATGTGTCCACTTCCTCCCGAGAGCAGCCACAACAGTGTCGCCACGCTAACTTCTGATTTCTCTCTTTCTGCACGATCTAGTCTTGCAGCTCCCGATGATTGGAGTCACATAACTCTCCCACCTCCCCCTGTCTCCTTGTCCTCTTCCAGACCCTCTGTAGCCATTTCAACAACCTCTTCTGATGAGTACTCTCAGGTACAATTGCTCAGTTTGCATCTTATAGTATTGTTATGCTGCAAGTGAAACCCCACTTACTCATGGAGGGTATGATTTGCAAGTTGCAAAAGATATTTGTTTGGCGAACTGGCTGTTTGATCGGTGGTACTCAGGGAGTGGGTGCATTGTGGATTGATGTGCATTCCAGCCTTGCAGAGCCAAGGCTTGTACCATTGCTTAGCTTACATGGGTCGCTGTTTGTGGACAGCGACCCATATAAGCTCTACCTGCTGCGCTGCATTTTGATCGAGGACAGGGCCTATTGATTTCAGCTGAGTCCATGCGTCTGAAATTGGTCTTCCCTGCTGTGGTGTTAGGTTGGACCTTGCATTAACATATATAAGTGTCCAAGACATATGTAGACCGAGCTACCTATGTACTTGTTGGTACACTGCGCTGCCACATAAATGTTCTGTGCTCGTGCATCTCTCTGGTTGGCTGCATCATTAAACTTGTGACTGATGCACCCATAGTGTGCAGAATTTTTATGGTTGTCCGGTTTGTTACCTGTTGTTACTGATGGTTCATTGGCTGCCTTATTCAGAGCTTTGTTCCATAAACAGGCGCGCAGACAAATGCAGACTAATAATTATCCAACCTTAATGTTACTCTTAGCTATACTAGGCTTTTATTTGCGACCTTGCAATCATAATGAGTTCTGGTTTACTTTTCCTCTGTGTGTAAGTTTCACACGTTTTGAGCAACCGGAAAACACTCTGTATTGTGTGACTAGCATTGCCTCAAACAAATGCTGCTGCCATCTAATGTGAGAGTGACAAGCTAAAGCAAATTGCTACACTTTTCATTTTGCCCATTAGTACACTCCGTGTATCCAAGTTTTTAATGCATTGTGGGTTTTTCACTTTTGATCCACAGAGTGCTCGAAACTCAGTGGCCAGTGTTGAGGGGTTATATGATCGTCCTCGCAATCGCAGCAGTAATACTTTCAACAGATCCAGCTTGGGGGAAGTCCTTGAAGAGCAATTTACTGCATCGATGACGCTTACAGAAACGCCAGAAACATCGACATCACTGGAGTTTGGCGTTTGTGCAATACGAGGGTTCCTCTATAAGAGAGAGAGGTTTACCTGGAACAAGATGAACTGCCTCATTCGCAACAGTTTCCTGGAATGCCACAAGCCAAACAGTACGCAAGGGCCGGCACTTAAACTCTTCCTACCACGCAGTGTCATAACTCCAGACAAGGAAGCCAAGAGGCAATGGGCGATCAGAGTGAAACACCCAAGAAGGGAAGGAGTACTCCAGTTTGCTGCAGAAAATGAAGAGGGCTACAGGAAATGGATGAAAGCCTTTAGCTCTGCTGCTGCTATTGAGGTATTTTATGTTATATTATACAGTATGATAGTCAGTTCTGTGTGCGTAGTAATGGTGTGAGGGGCGTGGCCAAGATAATCGTACTGTATGAGGCATTGTCATGGCACGTGCTTCTATGCTATGAATAATTTATGCACAATTCACGACCAAGAACCTAGGCCTTTACAAGAGAGACGTAGGGACTAAAAGTGCTGTTACACTTGGGAAGAATGCATGCAAGGACCTAGATAATGGTTGCCAGAATAAAAAAGGCTTTTTGCATACCACGGTACCTGACGCCATGTTCCACCAATTTCTTGAGACTCTAGACCGCGTTTGCTGCTGCAGGCCATCACTTCTCCCCCTATTACATTCCTTGTACGCGTCCTGACATCGCTGTGCCAGACAAGCAGCCAATCTAGGCCTACATGTATGTGCCGTGCACAGCTTCCTATGACTCCTAGTACAATACCATTCGAAAAACAATGAATGTGGAACTGGCAGGCCTTCAATTTAAAAACATATAATTTGTATTATAGTGGTAGCTGTAATTTTGTACTACCAGCAAATGTTGTTCACATTGGTACCATTTTATGCTTCGATCACACATTTGCATTGTGTTATGTGTGCTTTCTGGATAAGTCACTATTTTATCATGATTTGGCTGGCGAATTTTTTTTCACAGTGCACCCAAAAAAACAGCCTACGCACCACATCCATCAGCTTGGCCTGCCTAGCCTCCCGTCTTACCGCCACCCACCTTCCTTCTCACTAACTTCATCTTACGCCAGAATTATAATTATGTTGAGATACAGGCATGTTTAGGAAGTATGGTCTACTTAGTTCCTAGAGCCTAATATCCACTCAGGCTTGCTGCTAGACAGCTCTCTCCCCTCACACTGAGAGATATACGTAAAGGCAGCCGGACTTAGTAAGAAGTATATACTGTTAGCAACGCGTTAGAATCTATCTAGATAGCTTGAAGCCTTACAGTCCAAGTTATGAGGTAGCTAAACATCAACAATTTTACAACAGTGTGACATGCACAAGTATTCAGAAACATTCTGTGGGGGTTGTTTGTGGAGTAAAATGGCTGGTTTTAGGGAAAACATGTTTGTGCCCTAGGATGTTTCTACAGTACACACAAGTACTTAAGGAGGTGCTGTAAATGGGGATGTACAGTACAGGTGGTCTTTGAGTAAAGGTGTCTGCACTTAATGATTAGCAATACTTACTGCCTATGCATCCGTGTGTTTCTGTGTGCATATACGTGCTACACATGATTGTGTGCTGCAGTGGGCTTCTCTCACTGCTTGCAAGAATGTCTAGAATGTCTTGGCATACATGCTACCCTAGGCATTGGTGGTCGCTGAAGGGAGGCATTTTGCAGGGCACTGTGTACTGACCATTAGAGTGCTGGCAATGTAAATGTGCTACCACATGGGCCTCCCACATGGAGCTTCCAAATCATTCAATAATCGAATCTGACTGGTCACTTTCAACTTTGCAGATTTGAGTGTCAGCAAGCATGTGCCCTTATGCGTTTACTTTAGAACAGTGAGCCACAGTGATCCACGAGAGCAACAGCTATAAGCTCTGGGGCACTGTCATTGCACTGGAGTACTTCACAGTCAGGCACTTGTTTAGCGTACATGTGTACCTTATTTTAGTCAACTGTATGTAGGGTTACTGCGTTCAAGGATGGACCTGTATAATCTAGATTATATCCTTGCAGGTCCAATCAGTCAATACTGTGGAGGAGATAAGGATAACAGATCTGGATATGCAAAATCGATGGACAACATTGGAGCGGAATAATACCCTACAGCAACCAGAAACATCTCAGGTGCGTGTGGTATGTATTAGTTGGAGAAATGGGGGAACCAAATGAAATGGAAAGAACAGTGTCGCTAGCCTATGTGGTCCCTTTGTGTCATGAAACATTTGTTAATTAGCTCTCGGCGTGCATGGGTTACAGTACTTGATCTGTGTGTCTGTCTGTATGTCTGTCTGTCGGTCTGTGTATGCGTGTGTCTGTTACCACGTTTTCTGCCATCACGTGCAACAACCCGGCCAAAAAGCGACATATGCTTAATTAGCACAAGCTTACCTTGACCGGGTCTGCTCGCGCTGTGTATCTTGAACACACAAGATGTCACAACGAAGGGCATTTATCGACTACCGCATGCTATGTATCTACTGCTGTCGCTAGCCCGTGTCAGACTCTCCGCGAGCTAGTAGTGCCAGAAGACGAGTAAGCACATACCTAGCCCAGCCCATCAATTAGCAGTGCCGCACATACGCAGTTCTCCAAAGGTGTGCATTTTAGTGCTTTTCATTATATTGGCGAGGTAATGGGCGAGGAAATTATATGACTTGGGTGTCTCCCCCCCCCCTCTACTCACCGACTGATGTTGGTTATAGGCAATGAAGTCACATAGTGTGCGGATGCCGACAGACTTAGAGTCTAACCTTAAGCAAGCTTTGATGGCTTTTGTGCATTTTGACAGGCTAGTGTTATTTCTCTGAGTATAATGAACTTACCTGTAAGTGTTTCAGCATTAACCCCAATGTCAAACTCTCCCGCATGCTATCTACTACTGTAGCTAGCCCGTGTCAGACTCTCCGCGAGCTACTGGCGGGAGATCACGGGTAAACGCAGACTCTACATGTATGTCAGTTTTTCCTCCACGTTGTCCATGCACAGGGCTTAAATATAGGTGACGGTCCACGCGAAAACCAGCGGCAAACTATTTTTCGAGATTTCACCGGATTCCGCATTTTCGACCCTTTTGCCGTGCTCGTTCAAAATTTGGTGCGGATGACCCGTTCCATTCTGGAGATATAGTAGCTTTTGTACCCGGGAGTCAGACCTTCCGAGAAACGGAATTTTTCTACGTGTACTGATGACGTTTTGAGTAAACTAAAAAAGAAAAATATTTTTTATACGTGGAGAAATTTTTCCGCATACGCGCTCCGTTACACGTCGTGCGTTGACACACCCCCTAAACGGTTATGGAACGAGGCTATCTCTCGTGGAAACGAAGAAGACAGGCTCAACGACGGTAGCAGATAAGCTTTTAGCATCGTTGGTAACCCTAGCTCCTCTTTAGGCAGTTGTTTTTTTGGCGGCCCGTAAATTTCTCCGCGTAATTCCCGTGTATTGCGCCCGTTTACGGGCCTGTGGGGTTCGACGTAGCCTACTTCGAGGCGCCGCCACGGCCCTGGCGAGCGAGTTTCGACGCTCTAAAGTATGTAGCTGTCTTCTAGATAGATGTGGGTCCTTCTCCGTTAAAAAAACTCTGAATCGCACGGTACCCGCTGTTTCGACTTAGTACCAATTTCGCCAACTTATGCCTGGTTTTCGCGTGTACGGTCACATAGGTTATACTGCACGTCAATGGAAATACGGGATTTAGACGACCCCGGAGCCCTTAGTAGTGTCTTCGCTGCGCTCACACAGCTACAGCTCAGGGCCCCTAAATGGTGTATTTCCATTCACACACAGTATAACCTACTTAGACGGTGGCCGCACTGGGCATCAAGTCATCCGTGCCCATTGTCTTCTGCGAGACTTGCTCTCGCTCAAGTAAGCTGAAAAGGTCTTTATTTTTTTAATTGTAGTGAGGCCTTTCATCAGAGAAGCATCAGATACAGTGAGCTTGAAGACGTCTTTACGAACAGAGCGAGTTTCTGTGCACGGATGCTTGCCACGCCCCCATCGAAAGACGCCATTTTTTTAATGGGTGTCTCCGTGGAAACACGTACTTGGAAAATACAGGATTTAGAATCCATGTTTTAAGCAATCTGATTGGTCAATTTAAATCTGCCGACATCTAAACAAATGCTGGGTGAAGCCTACGTATGCCCACCAGCTTAAACACACAAACTGAGAAGCCCAAGGTAGAGAGATGGCTATCGTTAACTGGGGTGGTATGTGTGCACTCTGAAAGTCAAATACACCGTACTTATTATATTCATTACTTTTCTTCCATGACCATTGTTTGTCACATGCCGTCTTTTTACCATACCATCATTATGTACCATTCTAAGGAAACGAATTATTGTATTTTGTTTACGTATGTAGGCTGCAGTGTTTCGCTCAAATGTGAGTGTGTCTAAAGGGGGACTTTATTGTATTTTTTCAGCCTTACCTTCTTAAGCCTGCTGCAAGTAATCTGTCCTTGATTTAGGTCATGTGTTAATCACGTATTTTGCACAAATGCTGCAATGGGCTACCAAATATTCCGGCAGATGATGAAATACAATTATGCCCAGAAAGACAGGATGTATATTTCCTGCCTGCCTGACTGCTGTTAATATTCTGTGCATAATCATTGACAATGGTGTGCGGCCACGAGAATTATATTCCTATGAATAGAGAAATTTTTGAAAGCATGGTCATAAATGCTCAGTATGTCAACGGCTGTTTAAACTCTCCTGATAAGGAGGCTAAAGTTATTTACTTTTCATGTGTCTAAAAACTTTCCCATGAGGCCTCCAGTAAGGGTGAAACTTCTTGAAACAAATGTGGGATGGCTGTGCTCTCGCATATGAAGTTGGAGTTAGGTTAAAGTACGTATACATTTTTGATCTATCCTCACCTTGTGCAATGCAGTGACCAAAATGCAGCTCTAGTGCTAACAATACAACGCCTTTAACTACTGCAGTTTAATGGAAAAGCTAACATGCCATTGCATACTGTAGTTGTAATTCCAGCATTTGAGCAATATGCGTGATCATGACTCCTCAACCTCCAACCTTAATCCACTGGTAGTGGATAAAGTGTTTGTGTGAGTGGAGTATGCTCAATGTCCAGGCTTGCCTGTGGACACAATAGATCTGTGAGCACATTATTTACATTGATACGCACAAATTGTTCGCTGGGGTGACAAGTCTTTGCAAAACGTTAAGGTTCTGCGTGGTGATGTTTCTCTCACCAAAAGCTTAAGCTATCTATAGCTACAGAAAATAGTTTCAAAACTCTTCCGAAAATACTCTATTAGTACACAATAGCCCATGGGCACTAGTCAGTTTATCTAGAAAGAATGAGGGAGAGTGTGTGTGACAGTGTGTTTTATTTTCCTTAGACAAAGAAAAAGGTGGTGGACGACCTGCCTCCTATGCAAACCGGTCGCCGCAACACATATTCAGCAGGAGATGACTACATGAGTGATACCCTCAAGCGACGCAGGAAGTTCTCGTGGATAAAAACCCTCTCCCGGAAAAGAAGGCTTCATCATGCAGCTGTGTCCGATGCCCAGCTGGCAAGTGACAAGCAACACATGAATGGGGCTGTTGTTAAGCAGCAGCAGTCAGGGGAGGGCTGGTCACAACAACCAACAACAGTTGTAGTTGCACCTGAGGACCGGGCCCATCGTGTCACAACCGATGATGGAGTTGAGCAGTTCCAGGGTTACTTACATGTTCAACGCAAAGGGGCTAACAACACATGGGTGCGCTACTGGTGTGTGTGTGGAAGACCTCAGTATCTCCTGCTACATTAGCAGAAGTGATCTCGCACTCACTTTATCAATTCAGCTCAAGGGTTCCAGGGTTGCAGATGCTGCCCACGACTGCAGGCGACAGAATTCATTCAAAATATGGCATCTGGAGAGTGGCCAGTGCCTGTTTTTTGCAGCTGATGATGCCATTGAGTATGGAAGCTGGTTCAAGGAGGTCACCAAAGGTGCAGAGTATGTTGTGCCTCTTGATGCGGGAATATCCAACTCCCCTCTAGCTGCACCATTCTATCACTTCACCAAGGACAGCCCCTCAGACTCAAGTCCCAGCCAACGCTCATCCCGGTCCAGTATTGCATCACTCCCCGAGCTAGACCTCGACACTGCACCTGTAAATTCGGGAGGTACAGTTGTGTACAAGGGAAATCTAAAGAAACTAACTCAGAACAAGTGGAAAGACCGCCATTGCGTTGTGAAAGATTCGGTTTTGCAAGTGTTTGCAACTTCATCAGAGAAGACCCTTCTAACAACCATGCCCCTGGCTGGAGCTGGCGTAGAGCTGGTCAGTGTTCCAAATGAGGAGGTGCATCACTTCACGTTCCGCATTTGCATCCCTTCCGGAAAGGCGCACATGTTTTGTGCTGTTTCAGAGCAAGAGATGTATGCCTGGGCCACCACACTGCAAGATGTGGCCTACCAGAGCTCCGATGTAAAGGAAGACCCAATGGTAAGTTATTATGTGTACGTGATTTTGTAGTAGAGCATAACCATTTTGGACGAAATTTGCTACGTATGAGACTGGTCAAATGCTCGTAGGGATTGTCCAGTCCATTCTGCGATGAACAGTAGTGTGGGCATCAGTGTGAGCCACCTCAGCAGCGGGAATGGAGTTAGATTTGGAAATTTTTTCAGGCCTGGGCAAACTTATTAGCACTCTCATATATTATATATTCTTTCTCCGTACATTCTTTATAGAATAGTGTGTGATGTTCCTTGCCATTTTATGTGTGACGCCTCGTACGTTACGTGCAAGCATGTTAGAGCCTATTGGGCGTATCCCCATTCAGGGCAAGGTCAAATGTACTCAGAATGTGACCACACCCATTCTACGGACAAAATCTTTATCCGTGGACGACACATTTTTAGCTACCCACATCTTTTTATCAACCACCCATTACAAAACTAATGATTCAATTCCAATAATTTGTGCGAGGCACACGCTTGCACTTAGATGTTTCTTTAAGTCAATGAACCACAATGCTTACAGGCTCATGTAAATACCCTCGGCGCGCATGCGCAGCGAGGGTTACTGTTGTTGTCATATGTGTCTGTCTGTCTGCCTGGTACCTAACATCTCACTTCACGAGCCATGAATTGCTCCACAAACAATACCACGTATTCAGCGTCGGGTATAGGTTGCAAAGTATGTAGGATTTTATCTGAAACTGCTGCGTTCGGGAGTTATAGTGCGAAACACAAACACGAGCGAAAAAGGCCAATATGCTAATGAGAACAGGCTTAGTTCGAACAGGTCCGCTTGCTCTGTGTATCTTGAAGGCGCAAGAAGTCACAGCGAAGGGTGTGTATCGACTCCCGCATGTTATATGGTATTGTAGTCCAACTTCAAATAACCGACCTGGTAACAGACCACAAGTCAGTACAACGGTAAAATGGCCCAGTCCATCAATTAGCAGTAAGCACGTGAGTGTACATACCGCGTGCTCTGCCGCGCACGCGTTTCTATATCCACGACGTTTGTTCACGCATGCGCGAGATATTCCATTAAAAAGTTTTCACATAGGCTAAAATTTTGCAGAGAACGTTTACCAAGCCTATTGTTGAGCTAAAAACATGGCAATTACACAGCGAAAGATGTGCCTCACTTGGTAGCATGCTTACCTTGTCTGCAGCCTTTCAAAGAAGGTCGGTCTTCCTCAACTTTGCTTACATGTAACCCTTTTCTGGCGAGTGCACGCACATCTGCCGAGGGTTTGCACTTTAGTGCTTTTAATTAACCCTCGGCGCCCATGCGCAGCGAGGGTTACGGTGCTTGGTTTGTAAGTGTGTCTATCTGTCAGTTTGTCTGTTACCACGTTTTCTGCAACTACACACAACGAGACAACAAAACAGCGATACTAAGGAGTTCATCGCTACACTGGCTTCATTTTTTTAAAAAGGTGATTTTCGTGTGTAACTACTGCGTTCAAAAGTTATGGTGTGAAAGCAAGTGAACAAGCCAATATGCAAATTAGCACAGGCTTACCTCGACCGGGTCAGCTTGCTCTGTGCATCTTGAAGGCACAAGAAGTCACAACGAAGGGCGTGTATCGACTACCGCATGCTATCTACTACTGTAGCTAGTCCCGAGTAAACACATACTAAAAGCCCAGCCCATCAATTAATGGTACCGCTCATGCGCAGTTTGCCGAGGCTTTCATTAGTTCAGAAAATGTTTCGTTTCAGTAAGCATTTTTCATGACCTAATGTTCATTCTTTCGCGCACTGTACACCCGGGCAGCACACAACAACTTACTTTTTAAAGCACAAAAATATTTGTGTGGAATATGACAAACAAAAAATGGGAATTTTGCCCTGACGAAAAAATACTCGTATAAAACAAGGCAATAATCATTGTGTCTTGTCCACTTTACTTCTTATTTTCCTGTCCAGGCTAAAAGCAGAAAGAAGGTAAATTCAAGCACTCTGAAACACATCGAGAAGCTGTTCACCCCAATTCCAGCAAGCAGCCTGTCAAATCCAGTGCATGCTGGGTATGCTGAAGTGTTGGCATTGGGCTCCTGGCAACGATACTGGTGTGTGGTGCACTCTGGAGCTCTTTATCTCTACCAAAACCATGAGTATCCTACCACCACTCTCACCATTGTTCTGAAAGGTATGAGGGATACTCAGTGTCACAAAATTTCTCTATGACATCTTCCAGTGTGAAGGCAGCTGCCTCAGTTCCATTATAAGTGTCCTAGGTTGATCAAGCAAAGTATTCCTGCATGACCTGTTCCTTGTACATGCCAGAACATGGAACAGGACATATTTTGCTTTATTAAACACTATTGGGACCCGAACTCATGCATTTATTTATAAGCAAAGCCTAAATATTTTTCCTTCCTTGGCACAGTAGAATTAAACCTTGGCTGAACAAGTGCTGTCAAATGCTGCAAAACCTAATCAGTGTAACAATCATCAATGAAAAGCACTGACATGCAAACCCTCGGCGAACTGCGCATATGTGATAGCACTAATTGATGGGCTGGGCTATTAGTACACATTTACACGTGGTCTCCCACTAGTAGCTCGCGGAGAGTCTGACATGGGCTAGCTACAGTAGTAGAGCATGGGGGAGTCCATGCACACCATTCGTTGTAGCTTCTTGTGCCTCCGAGGCTTGAGCAGGCACCAAGGGTTAGTACTTTCGTTAACCCTCGGCCTGTTACAGTGCTTAGTCTATGTGTGTTTGCAGCTATTCTCTCACTACAGGCTACAAGGCAGCCTGTAAGCGATTCCAACGTCTTCAGAACCATGCGAACCTGAAGACTAAAAGTTTTCTAAAACAACTGCGTTCGTGAGATGTGAAATAAAGCCAATAAGCATAATCACACCTAGCATACCTTGACCTGCACCGCTTGCTCTGTGCACCTTGCAGTCACAAGAAGTCACACTGAAGGGTGTGTATCAACTGTCACATGCGTAAACACATACTCATGGCCCAGCCCGTCAATTAGCTGTACGTACTGTGTATGCATAGTACGCCGAGGGTGAGCACTTCAGTGCTTTAATGTTTTTTGTTGCTATTTTGTATCATTGCAGGGTACAGAATCACAGTAGGGGGTCCCCGTGGATGTAAGAAGCCCTGTGTTATAGCCATGCAGTATCCTGGACTACACACAACATTTATGTCCGTGCTTGACCAGAATGAACTAAATGTGTGGTTCAATGCACTGGAAAGGGGGACCAGAATGGAGAGCACTATTCAGCACCTAAGGAAACCCCCAGAAAAGGCAGCAATGCCAGCGACAGATGTCAGGATCAAGGTCACTCCCTTTGAGGAAGCAGACCCCCCAAGTCTTGGCACAGAGAATAAAAAGACTACTGTGGATGAACAGTTGACTGAGACTCCACTCAAGAAAGAAGTAAGAACATTGTACTATTTGACAGTGTATTCTAGAAAGAAGGTGTGGGGGTGTAGTCAAAAGGTACTTGTTACAGAGAAAGTAATAATAAACGCAGAGGGAATTTGAATTTTCTACACTGGTTGCTAAGTTGTGTTCTTCTGTCCATTTGTCTGTTACCATGTTTTCTGCCATTTGACGCAACAAGGCCGCCAAAAAGCAATACACCATCACTACAATTGCTTGACAATGACATTAAACATAGTGTTATGATAATCAACATTAGAAAAGATTCTACCTGTTTAATGAGCTATCAGAAAGTAGGTTGTGAGATCTTCATAGTGTTGCAGTTATATATGAAAAGCACTGAAGTGCAAACCCTCAGCGAACTGTGCATGTGCGGTACCACTAATTGATGGGCTGGGCTTTTTACTCGTGGTCTCTCGATAGTAGCTTGCGGAGAGTCTGACACGGGCTAGCTACTGTAGTAGATAGCATGCGGGAGTCGATACACATCCTTCATTGTGACTTCTTCTGCCTTCAAGATACACAGAGCGAGCGGACGCAGTCAGTGTAAACCTGTGCTAATTTGCATATTGGCTTGTTCACTTGCTTTTAACGCCATAACTTTTTGAACACGGTAATTCTATGGAAATCACCTTTTTGAAATGAAGCCAGTGTAGCCATTAACCTGTTGTCTCGTTCCGCGTAATCGCAGAAAACATGGTTACAGACAGACGGACAGACGGACAGACAGACAGACACACTTACAAACCAAGTACCGTAACCCTCGCTGTGCATGCGCTCCGAGGGTTAGTAAATCCATCTACTAATGTATACATACGCTACGCATGCCACTGATCATAGGGTTTAGCACTTGCTTATGCTAGTACCCAAAATGCTTAGCTTGGGTGTTTGTCCAAGACTGAAACACATTGGTGTGTAGTTATACTGTGAAAGCTTGGGGTGCTGATTTGATGCTACTCCGATTGTTTAGGCAAGGCACTCGCAGTCACTTATACTGATGAATCAATAGCCCAGTTGCACGTAAGAGTCAAGATATTTCAATCACGCGTGACGTCATTGCCGGTTGCTGCTAGTGGCCAGGAAAATGTGTTGCAGTGAACGGAGAAATCGCAACCGCCCGTTTTCAAAGTCTCGCGAGGCGCGCGCAGTACCGCATATTCATATTTAGAGGGTGCAAGCTAATATTGAAATCACTAGCGTCTCTGCCGGTCTTTGTCTGAAGCCGAAACGATGAACGGTCGAGGAGGAGGAGTACAGCTTACTTCTTTTGCTCTATTTGAGAGTAGATGTATCAGTAGGCGTGGTTGTACAGGTATCGCTGTATGCCATACTCAACCTCATTTTAACCTCTGATGCCTGCACTGTGCATGGAACTACCCATAATCCACTCCGGGTAAGCCATTAGCTTACCATGGAAACTCCATAATTCTGATAATTAACCCTCAGCGCACATGCGCAGTGAGGTATAAAACTTGGTTTGTCTGTCCGTCTGACTGTCTGGCTGTCTGTTTGTCTGTCCATCCGTCCATCCGTTTGTCTGTCTGTCTGTTACCACGTTTTCTGTCGCTACGTGCAACTAGATGGACAAAAAGGGATACAAACAGGTTCAGTACCACACTAGCTTTATTTAAAAAATACTGATGTTGATAAAAATGCTGCGTTCAAAACGTATGGCGTGCAACCAAGTGAGAACGAGCTAATATGAAAATTAGCACTAGTGGCTTGCCTCGACTAGATCCGCTTGCCTGTGTATCTTATGGGGAGGCACCCGAAGTTGCAGTGTAGAGCGAGCATCGACTCTCAACGAGCTGGTAAGAGACCACGAGTCAGTAAAATGCCCAACCCATCAATTAGCAGTACTGCGCATGCGTTTCTGGTGCGACGAGGGTTTGTACTATAGTGATTTTCATTTAAGATGGAACAAAAAGGTGAATGAAATGTGTAATAAAAAATTTAGATAACTGCCACATTCCCTTTAGCTCTACAGTTTCGTGACCTTGTGGAAAATATATAACTCTAATGCATAAAATTAGGTTACTATTGTTGCGTAAACACCCATTCTTTGGCATGTACGTGCAGCCCTTTATCGGTCGGTTTCTCACTCTAACAAGGGTAGGTTGCTTATTTTTCTGCCCAGACCACAAGAGGAAAGTGATTTCTTGAATCAGCAGTCATACAAATCGCTGAACATCACATAAGCATGTGACCACAAATAAGAAAGCTCCATTTAAGCTGCATGTTCACAAGTTAATCCACAATATGAAAGCACAACCAAGAAAATGCTGAAATGCCATTTTAGGGCAGGATCGGGGTACGAGGTTGTGGGTAATGCAACTAAAAAACCTCGCTTTTCCTTCGAGTAGCTTCTGCATGTCCCTGTACGGCGCGCACACATTGGTGATGCCGAGACACAGGGCTTTGCATACCACGCCCTTTTCCAAATGTTAGGTAAAACTGTTTTTGTTTGTAATCCTGAATCCAGGGTCTTCAACTGTAACACAAAGTATTCAAGAAGTGGTTTTCTCATAAAGGGGGGTCCGTTGATGGCGGTTCCCGGAACTACTTTTCGTTGAGCAGAGCATATGCGTACTTTTCATTGAACGCAGTAAATACTTTCTGGAAAAAATTGCTTCATAGTTTCTGACTTTCATTTTGCGCTGGGTAGTTCAGTTGCTTGTGAATAATGAAAAGCACTAAAGTGCTAACCCTCGGCGAACTGCGCATGCGCAGTACCTCTAATTGATAGGCTGGGATATTAGTATGCGTTTACTCGTGGTCTCCCGCCAAGTAGGTCGCGGAGAGTCTGACACGGGGCTAGCTACAGCAGTAGATAGCATGCGGGAGTCGATACACACCCTTTGTTGTGACTTCTTGTGCCGTCAATATACACAGAGCAAGCTGACCTGGTCAAGGTAAGCCTGTGCTAATTAGCATATTGGCTCGTTCACTTGGTTTTCACGCCATAACTTTAGAACGCAGTATTTTTAGGAAAATCGCCATTTTTAAAATGAGGCCAGTGCAGCGCTGAACCCGTTGGTGTCGCTTTGTGGCCTGTTTGTTGCGCGTGGTGGCAGAAAACGTGGTAACAGACGGACGGACAGATTGACAGACCAAGTACTGTAACCCTCACTGCGTATGCGTGCCGAGAGTTAATAACTCAAGAGGTGAGCTGTTGAATAACAGACACACACACAGACCACTGTAACACTCGTTACTACAGTGCATTGAAGTGAAGGTTAATAAATTGTGTCGTGCCTATGCCTATGTCCTCGCAGAGTGCATGCGAGACTGTGTGTGTGTGTGTTGTGGCTATGTTCATCTACTCTTTCTTGTGTGTAACCAGCATGTGTTTGCATTGCTCTACTTTAATCCAGAATAAGTTTGCTTTAGGCACACCCTTTAGACAACAACATTCTCCTGCATAGATAGTGAATACGTAGTCATCCTGAATAAAATGTTGCTGCATGTAACAGTTTAAGGGACTTTAAATAAATGCTAATAAGTGTGCGTATAAGGATCATCATAACTGTTGAGTTACAAGTGTTTTTGTCAACTACAGGAGACTTCAGGTTCTCCACCCCAGCACATAATCCGCAAGTATGAGAAGAAGGTTCGCAAGACTCACCGTGTGGCCAATGTAACTGAACAGAACCTGAAACGACAGCAGGCCTCCCTCATGCATTTTAAGCGGGAGTTGTCACAGACGACTGGAAAACTCCAGGAGCTGGCCAATAAGGGAGATGAGCATGCCATCAAGCGGCTCAAGAGTGTTCGCGTAAAGCTGCAACAAATTGACAAGATTCTGCCATACATCGGCAAGTATATTATGGTAAACCGGCAAGCAGAGATCCAAACTGTTGCCATCCTCAAGGAATCTTGTACGGTTGATCTCCAACGGGTAAAGGGAGATGCCACGCATGCCGGAGTAGCATCACAAGACCCTGAGCCAAGCAGAATCCCTGCTCATAAGCCCCTGGAAACACATGAGGAGGAGGCGGAGTGTACTGCCACTGTAGAGCCTACTCAGCACTCATCTGAAGTCATGGCATCACCACTCGTTTCTGAACAAACAACAGCAAATCCAGGAATAACGCCACCTGTACCACAAAATGAAGCCCAAGAAGAGGTCCCAGCGGCTGAGCCATTAGAGCCTGCACCACCAACACCCCTTAGCTCACCAGAATTGGTTGAGCAGAGGCTGTCTCCACATGCACCTGATGACTCGCCCTATGCAAACCTCATGTTTCTTCAGTCAGAAGCTCAGAAGATACACACAAAAGGAGTTGGTAGAGGAGAGGATCCCAATGTCAGGGAGGAATCCCCTTATGCTACCCTTGCCAGTGTAAGACCAGGAGAAGTGGCAAGCAACCAGAGCCGTGACGAGGTTCAATATGCAGAACTTGTCAAAGTTATGTCGCCCACAATTCTTTCACCAGCTCCCAAGAGCCCTTATGCTGAGCTGGACTTCACCAAAATGCAGGAACAACAGCAACAGCAACAACGCTTAACTCCCACATCTCCAAGATCACGGTTAAACTATGTCGAGGTGAGCTTCAACGCGGGCAAGTCAAAAGCTGTCATAGCTGATGAAACGGACTCTAAGACAGAAGAAATAGACACCACTCTGGTTGCCAGGAGTGAAGAAAAGGAAACAACCCCATTGGATGAAACACTTACGTCAGTCGAACAGCCATTAACATTAAGTACTTCTGCTTTAGCACACTCCGCTCCATCTCCCAAGTCCAGAGCTGCAGCATTGCAAGAGGCTATAAAGCTCTTTGAGCCTCCACACAGTTCAACCCCTTCCAAGCCACCATCAAGCAAGGCAGAACCTCCACCAGTGAAGAGAAAGCCAAAGCAGAGTAATCCCTCTGCCAACAGGTCCTCAATACCTCAAGAATCATTCACCTCTCCGTCTCACACTGCCACAGAGGAAACTGGCAAGAAAGACACTGACCATTGTTCTGATGATGGCAAGCTGCTTGTCAGTGAGACTGATGGGGCTCAGTCGGTTGCTACAGGTACAATGAGTGTTCTGGAAAGAATCAAGGTTAGCTTTGACATGTGAGAATTGTATTCCACCTAATGTCAGACTATAATGATGCAATGTAACAATCTTTAACGTAAATGTAAATTACCAATCCTAAATCACCCCACCATGCATTCATTCAAGGACTTTCCTGTTTAGAGCAGTTTTTGTTCAACCTAGGTTTGCGAATAACCGTTATTCGCAACGCTTTATGGGAAAGGAAGCTTTACAGTATGTTTCCCCACGTTTTAATACTCTATATTATCACTGACTGCTCTGCACTTTTAGCATGATTCCATTGTGTATTTCTTTAGGTTTTGCAGCAAAAGAGCAATTAAGAAGTCCCTTTACGCAAGGACTTTTCTGCATTAATTTTTTATATAAATATTGTGTCATGTTCTCTTGTCAAACAAAGCTCTATGATAATTTTTGCAAACACAAAGGGGGCGCATTTTGTATTACCAATAATTATTGTACTCTGCTTGTGAATACCAGGCTCTGGGGATAGAAGTCTCTCTACTGTGTTGTATACACTTCACTTGGAGGTCTTACCAGGTTCCTAGGCCAAAGAGAGGGACATGGTAATGAAGGGGACACCGAAGTTTATGTCTTGCCATGGAAAGATAAACAACAAAAAGAAAACTGACTGACAGTGACAATGAAAAGCACTAAAGTGCAAACCCTCGGCGAACTGGGCATGCGCGTTACCGCTAATATTGATGGGCTGGGCTGCTATTAGTATATATGTAGTATACTCGTGGTCTCTCGCTAGTAGCGTCTGACACGGGCTAGCTACAGTAGTGGGAGTCGATACACGCCCTTCGTTGTGACTTCTCGTGCCTTCAAGATACACAGAGCAAGCGGACCCGAGCCTGTTCAAAATATAAGCGCATGCGCATTTTCCGCAGCGATAAAATGGCCGACTAGCATTAGCCGTACAATGGCGGAAGCGCTCTAGCTTTGCAACGGAGCACTTTCTGACCTTCATTGCCCGTTAAGTAGGTCGTATCGTTTGTGAGACGAACAGACATTCGAGAAGTGAGATTGAGAGTAACAGACACACAGACAAACCCCCAACTACAGTACCCTCGCTGCGCATGCGCGCGCCGAGGGTAAAAATACATAACTTGAGCTAGATAAAGTTTTCCAAGCTGAAATATGGATGGATAACAGCTCTATGATGTTGTCCTGGGAGTGACTGGAACAGCGCATGCGCGCGTGATAGACGGGGGAAAACCTGGGACTTTCCCTTAGAAGTCTTGGACCGTCAGCGCGTGGAGTAAACATGAGTGATAGAGGTCGCGGACGCGGTAGAGGCCGTGGCCGTGGAAGGAGCAAGGACAACCAGAGAGGAAGGCCTGGAGACAAGCGGCCAGGTCGGTCGTTTCAGCAGAAAGCGACAGTACCAGGAGCGGGCATTGAGGTTGGCAGACACGCATCTTCCGCAGCCGCCGACGCTGACGGTGAGCACACGGTATACTGCCTGGCAGCTGCATGGTATGTGAAACCAGGGATATCCTGACTAGTTTTAATCCAGGCGCATAATCTATGGCGTACAGGAGAAACGAACCCATTCTGTGGCCGTGTTTTTATAGGACTCCACTACATTTACATTTGGGAGTCTCCAGTAGCTATAATTATACGCCTGTAGTGAATCATCCGAAGAGGGAGCAGTACAAGGGTATGGTGGCCCACTAGTGCCAATTTTCTCATTTTCGTTTGTCGTTTCTCATGTGGATTGTTTTTCGATTTTCATTCTTCTTGCATTTCGATTTCCAATTTTCGTTGCTCGTGCAGTTCAATTTTCGTTCTTCGTTTTTCTTGCGTTTTGATCCTTGGTTTTCGTTGCTCCTGCAGTTTGCTTTTCGGTCTCCACCTGTTTTGTTGTTGTCCACGCGGTCCCAGGTACGTGTTAATAAGCACGCACGGCAGGACGTCGACTGGGCATGCGCTTAATTGCGCCACACCCACCGCTCTTAGCGAAAATCGTAACGCATGAAGATAAAAGCGCACCGAAAATAAAACTGCACGAGCAACGAATCAAAACGCAAGAAAAACGAAGAATGAAAATTGAACTGCATGAGCAACGAAAATCTGAAATCAAAACGCGAGAAGAACGAAAAAACGAAAATAGATTCACGTGAGAAACGGCAAACGAAAATCGGGAAATTTGCACTAGTGGGCCACCGTACAAAGGAGATATATCCTCTTTCGGAGATTCACACTAATAAAGTATGAGATGCCACCATAGTTCTCGCTAACCAGACCTATGGTGTATCAGTGTCAAAAAAGTATACTTTCGTTTTGGATTACATACCGTCGCTTCGTTTATCCTGAGGTTGGTCTATTTCATCATGAGGTCTTTTTTTTACTGAAGTAGGTCTATTTCATTAGCTATGAGGCCAGTCACACGACACCCTAATCTGGATCGTAATCCGGATTAGCGCTAATCCCGATTACGTGTAAATGGTACGGTCAGGATCACGATCCGGATTAACTAATCATACTCCAGGAGATGGATTAGTAGTGGATTTAGCTCATAGCTGAACAGCGCCTGGGGCATGCTTTTGCTTTCTACTCATTCTTGCAAAATCCACGCAGTTTCTAGCGACCTGCGAACGGGGCTAAACAAACGCACATCCAACTTTGCTGTAACTCTCTGAACGTACCTAGCAGGGAAAAATCGGCGCGCAATGGTAGCTACAAGAGGTAGAGAGGGCAGATAATCGTAGGACCTGCCGTCGTCCATCGGCCGCTGCTGCTAGCTGTCAGCTGTCTAGCTGGCTAGGCGGCTGCACTTGATGGGCGGAGCTAGAAAGAAACGCTCTTGCGAGGCGCGCACGAAGTATGCGCCGAAAATTGAGCCATCTCCCTAGTTATGATTCGACTGAGAGAGACAATGGCAAGTTCAAGTCGTGGTGCTGCTTGGGGAGAGAAGGAGACAAAGACATTAATTTTAATGTGGGGAGACATAAAAATACATGCAGAACTGGACGGAAAATCAAGGACGAAGCAAGTGTTTGAAAAAATTTCACAGAAGATGACAGAGGAAGGATACCACAGGGATGGCGAACAGTGTAAAATCCAAAAAAAACTTGAAGAAAGCCTACACAACGGTGAAGGACCACAACAACGTCACAGGGAATGACGAGAAGACATGTCCATTCTTTGAGGACATAGGTCCTAGATGCTAGTGCTGGAGGCATCGCTGTAGAGCCTAATGACGAGAGAGGAGAGAGTGACAAGGATTATGGTATGATAGAGTGACAACATGTGCTAAGTTTTTAATCATGCATCTGCATACAGAGGAAGGCGCTAGAGGTTCCCAGACTGAATTAGAGGGTAAAATATTATTGTTATTTGTTATTGTAACTTCTCTTAACAACCAATGATACATTAGACACACCACCAAAAAATAAAGTTAGGCTTTGACCCTGGAAAAACGAAGCAAGGTATGCTAAGTACAGGACATGAATTGCTACAAGTCATAATGTGATATAAAACAGCCAAAACCAGGAAGACAAAGGCCAAAAAAGCACTGGACAGTGCTATCAGGGAATTTAGGGAGATGCAGATCGGCAGTTCAGAGAGTGGGAAGAAGAAAAGTGGAAGAGAGAGAATGAAATAGAAGAAAGGAGGAGGCGTGAGGACAGGGAACATGAACGGATGCTCCTACAGATGTTTATGCAAGTTCATGGACCTCCACAACCCCCACCCTACCCATCGTACACCTACACCAGCAGCTACTACTGCAGCGACCCATCCCTCCAGTCTAGCCCCCAGCTGTGAAACTCAAACTATACAGACTTCATTATGGTTACATATGCATATACGTAGTGTACACACTAATGATCAGAAATATATGTCATTAATGCTCTCCGGATATTGTTACCATCAGCACCACGGCACCAAATGATATGCTGGGTCTCCCAGCACCAGTACCGGCACCCTGGTGTTATTTATGGTTGTTAACCTTTCATCAAATAGATGACCCCTCTCTCCTCTCAAGAATACTTGGGAATTGTGAAAAACACGTGCATCGTGCACTCTTCCAGGCCAACCAACACAAAATATCGGTGAAAATACCGGAGTGGTCAACCATCCCCTGTAAAATTACCGAATGCCATCCCTTTCTGTTGTAGTAGTCCACAGGGGTTTTCTGTGGAGCCTCAAATGGGAATGTGGCTGCCGTCTATCGCTCCACCACAATGAGGAAAACCTTTCAAACCCGTTGATGACTGAAGTTAGGGAGCTCCCCACAGGCACTTTAATGTATTTCGGCAGCAATACTTTAACTATAGCACACCTCCGTATCAAACATACTGATACCTTCAATACTCCAAACAAATGCCCAATTGTTCGGTAGTCTGCATTTGTGGCCAGAAACCAAAGAGTGACAGCTACTCTCATTTTTATTGATATACTGAGTCGCATAACCATGTCATTCTTTTCTATTTCTGAAACGTAGACTTGGACATTCTAAAGTTTGTGATCCAGTCCTGATCAATAAATGTTCCATTAACAATCTTATCCCACCACTCTGAGCTTCTCTCACTCTAGCATTCTTGACGGTGTCAGAAGCTGAACTACAAAACTACATAGGGTGAAGGCAAAAAGCATTCTCTGCTGAGCTTGTCGCCGTTGAAATGCTTCTCTACGCTTCAGTGCTTTTTTTGCCCTTGCAGCAGCCTTCCAAATCATTTTCAATATTCAGCACTTCAGCCAAGCTCTCTTCACCTCCATTGGACACTTCTGTAACTCTCTTACTCTCTCTAAAAATGTTCACACTGTTCAACTCTGCACACTCCCTCTCTGACACCTTTCTTACACTTTGCTCCTGATCCACACAGAGCGTCACGCAGAAGCAAACGGCAAAAACTCTAATAAGAGCGCCTCGACCAACACGTGGCGCTTTGCTCATCCCCCCCCCACTCCACCCATCGGATTAGTGTACCGTTTACACGCACGCGCGCCTGCCCGGATTTTAATCTGGATTCAAATCCTGATTAAAAATTGTCGTGTAAACGTGGCTTATTTTATCATGAGGTTGGTCTATTTTATCATGAGGCCTGTCCTATTTTATCATGAGGGCGGTCCTATTTATTGAGGTAGGGTTTTCAAGAGATTTCTTGCTCTAAAAAGTTTTCTTGAACCTCCATCGGACAATCGGACATGACACATAGTGTGTACGTGTATCCTGCGCATGCGCCAAAAAATTGCGGATCGGAGCGACCTCATGATGAATAGGCCCACCAGTAAACTAAAGGAATGCTGTTTGGTGAGCGAGCACAAGCAGGTCAATATTTTGGGCGCATGGCGTAGAGCATTATGCGCTGTGTGCGAGCGTTGAATATTTTGCGTGTATTTAGAATGACGCATTACGGACAGTCACACGTAGTCTCATGCCCAGACCCTCACGTGCTCCCGCATGCGCACAGCCTTCATGTCACATGATAGTTTCGAATCCGGCGATCTGATTGGGTTACCCGTTTTCCGAACATGCTGACTCAGCACAACCAAGAAATCTGACCTTATATACCAGGGGTTCTACTAAACCAGAAACGGTAAATTTGGAAATTGGATATGCGGAAATAGGGAACTGGGGAAACCAGGATTGAGGCTCGCTGTGCGCGCCAATAGACGACTCCTCACGATACAGTAGGGACAGCACGTAATCAGCGTATACTATTTGGGCACACTGATACCACGCCATCACACACACCTCACGGCAAGGAGAGGGAGTCTGGTCAAAACTGCTATAGTAGAGTTGTGCCGCTTCAATGGCTTCGATGATGTACTCTTGACGTAACCTCAGCATGGCTAAAGTTGGTGTAATGGGAATAATATTGCACACACACACGTGTAAAGGCCGGTTCACAAAATGACGCTGTAGTAGCACACATAGCATAAACATGCGCAACCGATTGCAAGGACTACAGGAGAGCCTTAGGGACTGACATGGACGCATGCGGTAACACCCACTTATTGCGCTGCTGAAAGTCGGCGCGTGAAAAACTAATAATTGACGCAACTCTACTATAGCAGTTTGCCAGACCCTCTCTCCTTGCGTGAGGGTCTGGCTAGCGAGACTATTTTGAAGAGTGGGAAATGCTATTTACAAGAGGCCATCATTCTTTTGAGCTCTGATTCAGCAAAACAATTCTAACACGATGTTGCCACATCTTTAAAACTGAGTTACAATCGCTAAAATAGACCAGTTGACTGGACTCTATTACCGGCTTCGTGCAATGTTTCTGGAAGCACTGAAATTGCCCTTGACCTAGAGCCCACTCCAGGCTGTTGGTAATTATGCACTAACACAGATAGCTAAATCTAGATCTTGATGCATCATCAACGTTTGGCTGTGTTTTAAGCACCACTCTGCCCAGTGTCGGTGGTGCACTGTGGAGCCAGCTTCTTGCATTTGTTCAGCCAGTGAATAGACAGGGAAGTACACACTGAATAATTAATACAGACATGCAGTAAAACGTGTGTCCATGTGTCTTGTGTCTCACTCCCACACTTGTAGTCCGGACCAGCAATCCAGAAGCTGCATGGCTTTCCTGGCCCTAACAACTGCGTCAAGAGCGTTTCTAGACCTCCAGAAACGTCGCAGAAGCAGAGTGTCGGGCTATACTTTGCAAGTCCACTGAGTCCAGTTCACCGGTCCATTGAGAGTGGTTTCGTTAAAGTACTGTATTCGAAAGTTATGACGAAAAATTAGCACATTCTTATCTCAACCAGCTCCACTTGCTTTGCATTCCTTGGAGGCTCCAGGAGTTACTTCGAGATGTATAGCGACAAGAGCATAGCCTACCTAACCCATCAATTAGCAGTACCGCCTGTGCATGGATATGAGTCATTCTTTTTGTGTGATTGGGAAAGTAGATATTTTCAACGCATTGCCCATTCAGTTGGGCTAATATGCCCCAGACAATTGCAACGGCTTCAGCAAGCATTAAGTTGCACAAGCATGTTTTCCAGGAAGGGTCTTTAGTATTTCCGCTCTTTTGGCATAAGTTTTGCACTCACTCCCGTCTCCCTGGACATGGCGTCAAGGCACTGGCTTTGTGGATTCCTTGCTAACTATTGTATTCTCTTTCTTCTCCTGTTTCACACGATTCTGTCCTGAACTAAACCTAACCACAAATAACCTTATAATGTTTTTTACATAGCCATGTGGCCATGAGGAAAGCCCCGGCAACACTAATGTGTTGGCTGTTTACCAGAGTGGCTAGCTTGTCCCTTCAGAGATAGAGTAGAGACATGTACGTACTGTGTATAGCAACAAACCCAACCTTTTGGAGTGTGTGTGCTTGCTTTATTCTATTCTATTATCCGCGCCGACTCTCCGCCCCAGGCGCTGATAAAAACCGCAACACCACGACAAAGGTGTAATAATACGCTTATTAACCGTTGATTGGTCGGTGCTGGGGGAACCACGTGCAATAAGGGCGCCTCCACCCAATACGGCGATGCGCGCTAGAACACCTGCGCATAACGGTGTCGTTTTCTATTCTTATTTGTATACGCTGCTTGTCCTATGCGAACACTGACAGATCGAGGGAGCGATCTAGGGATGCGAATGGGCAGAGACGTTCCATTTGGAGTCGAGGTTGTCATTACCGCTGAGACGTCGTCTGCAAGACTCCCATCTCCGAGAGTAGCGCTCCTCCTGGGACGGGCCATCTCATCATCGAAAGGCGTAGGCTCTCGCTAGTCTCTGACAGAAAGTAGGGCTCACGTGCACTACTTCCGACAGCTAGCAGGAGAGTTTGCACACGTAGCCTTTTTTTGGCAGAGATAGCGAGGAGCCTACGGCCTGTGTCTACCCGGCGGCAGCTCGCCACAGGAGCGCTACTACTCTCGACCGCAGTCTTGCAGCGAACGTCTCAGAAATCCCAACCCTCGACTTCGGAAAGCCTCTGCGATTCGCTTCCCTCCTCAGATCTGTAGCGTTCATAAAAACATTGATAACCCAACCCTAAGCCCCGTTGATATTCCAACCTCCTCACCCTCTTGGGTGGGTTGGTTATTTTGCAAAATAAACATCTCACACCTAGCACAGGGTAATAAATAGTTTTTATATATATTTATTTATATTCTTGCTAGGGAACTAACACTAAACAGAGTTTTCACATCTTCCATGTGAAAACTAAGAAGTAAAAGGCAAAGGCCACAAACAAATCACCCCCATACCAGCTCGTTTTTTCCAAGGGAAGAAGAAGAGCTGCCCTAGGTGGGATTCCGAACCCACGACACTGCGCTCTACTATAACCAACTTAGCTACCCAGGGCAACTCCAGCTGGTAGGGGTTCGAATCTACAACACAATACAACACAAGGCAAACCTCAAACTATCATCAATAACTTCTCTCCCATTGTGGCTTCCTCAATGGGTCATAGAATATCTAGCTATGGTTAACAACCATTTGATCCATGGCGATAAGTTCACACACTGCAACATTACATGGCTCTTGTAAGCACAAAGAAGACTTGTAGCCTCAGTGGCCATGTCAAACGAAACAGAGTAACATCGACATAAGAATCTTGTTATTATTACGGGGGAACGAATCAAGCCCAACTATTTGGTTTTATTGGGATTTACATTATGTTGTTGAACCCGCTGCACATGCGCTGCAACGTACCGTAAATTAATATAGTAGATTTTTAATTACACGCGAAACAGCGTGAAATATTTAAAAAAAAAAACAAAAAAACAAAAAAAAAAAAAAAAAAAATAAAAAAAACATTAAAAAAATAAAAAAAAAAAAAAACAGATAAAAAAAAAAAAAAAAAAAACAAAAAAAAAAAAAAAGACACAAAACAACCCACTCAACACAATAAAAAAAAACAAAGAAAAAAACACAAATTAAAAAACAATTACAAAAACACCAACCACAACAACACAACAAACAAAAAATAAACAAACCACACACAATTACCCCGCTCCCACACAACCACTTAAAAACACCCCCCATTCACTCCATGACCCCCCGCCGCCGACCCACCCCAACCACCAAACAAACCACCCATTACCCACGCACCCCCTCCCCCCCCGCACCCCACCCCCACCCCCCTGCCACGCCCCACTACCTCCCCCCCCCCCCCCAACCACACCCCCCCACACCACCTGCGTTCCACCCCACCCGCCACCCCTCCCTCTACATCCTCCACCGCCCCTACCATGCTCCCCCCCCCATCCGCACCCCCCCCCCCCCCCCCCCCCCCCGTTTACCCCCCCCCACTCCACCCCCCCCCTCCCTCTCCAACCCCCCCACCCCCCCCCCCAAAAACCCTCCCCCTCCCCCCCCACCCCTTCCCTCCAAAAAAAATGACCTCTAATATTATTCTGTTTATAATTGTGATGGTCTGTTTTCTACCTTATCCAGCGTAGATGGTCTTTTTTGGCTCTTGGGCGCAATTTTCTCGCTCCAGGATTGCGCCTTGTGCCACTTTGGTTCTGCTGCTGGTTGCTAGCCCTCGGTTTAGCTCAAGGTCTTATCAGATGAATATTAATGTGTATCTTTACCCTTCCTGTGGAAGTTTGACCAGTTTGTACCACATATTATAGCTGTAAGCATCCATTCTCTGCGTTACCTTGGTTTCCTTTTCCTTTCAATGTAAATCGCAAACAGCACTCAGGCCGCCATTGTTCCGTTTCCTGAAAAAACCATCTGACACTTGGGCAAAATGGTCATTTGCAGGAAAGGGAAAAGGAATAGAGGTGGTAGCGATAAAGGGCGGCTCCTTTATGGGGCCAGCTTAAAGGGACTTTCAGCCAAAAACATGATGGTCTCCTCAGGATGGGCACAGACCAGATGCAACAAGGGTCCGGGTGGTTTCAAACCACTCAAACTCATCTTGGGAACCCAGCCAGTCCCTGCTTCGTACTCCCTCACTCCATATGAAGCCCATCCGTTGGAGCTACAGCAGGT